TGAGGCTCTTGGGTATGAAGCCTCCTTGGGGTGGTGAGGAGAGATCTACTCCTAGGGAAAGTGGGGGCCATGGTTGCCTTCTTCTTCTTGGATGAAGAACCAGAGACCTTCTTCTCCAAACTTTTGATCTTGCTCACCATCTTATCCATGGACTTTTGCATCTTGTCCATGGCTTTCCCTTGCCACTTGTTGAACCTTTGGAGAAGTCCAATCCTCTTGTGAGCAGCCACAACAGAGGGGTTCATCCTTGGAGCCTCATACTCCTCAAAGTAGTAACACTCAGGCTCTCCCAAATCCGTATTCACTTGAGCGTGGTCCTCAACTAGATCCTCAGCTCAATCGAGTTCAGGCTCCTCTTCTCGCAACTCTTCTTCATGCCCAACTAACGTGTGAAGTGGAGGGCTGAAGTCAATGTTGTTACCTCCTACAACCGTGGTGAACTCAGGGTTGGGCAAAAGAAGCTTGGAAGGGCCAGCTAATGGGTGTGTGAATTTGAATTCGAACCTCCCATCCAACTCCTTGTGTTCAATGAGGAGGTTGGTCTTGCAAAACTTAATATCCATCCATCCTGCTGGAGTAGACCTTCTCTTGTTCAAATGGACCCCAGCTGCACATAGGATTGGCGTGATGACTCCTCCAACACTAAGCTTCCTTCCTGTTTGAAACCGAGTGTTATAGGCGCTTGTCTTGTAGGAGAGTAGCTGGTCAAGGAGGGGCATGAGATTCCCTGCGTGGATTCTATCTCCTCTAATTCTCTTCCCATCCTTGGATCGTGAGATGATGGGCTTGATTCCCATGTCAAGGAGCTTCACTTCTCCTTCATTAATTGTACCAGTGGCCTTCCTTGCAAAGAAGGTGTTGGCAAGAGCTTTGTGGACATATCTCAGCACAGGAATCCTGATCTGTGCAGCCTTTGATCTCGAAGAAGAGAACCCTTCCTCAGCAATTGTAGCCCATACTCTTTGTAGCTCCTTCTCCTTGATATCCCAATGGGTTCCCTCGCCATAAGTGAAACCGAATAGGATTTCCAACTGCCTGAAGTTAATCACCTTCCTTTCTCCTCTTGCCAGGAACGTAATCCATCCCCAGCCCTGATCCAAGTCAGCTCGATCGAGCTCACTATACTTGTGAAACCTCATCGAAGCCAAAAACTCACAAGTGAGCTCCTTGTATGAGCCCAGGTGATAGGAGAAGAACTTGGCCAGGCGCATGTTCTTGAGGACTATCTCCACATCCTCAAAGATCCCAAGAGCCCTCATTGTGTCATCATGTGGGTACTTGGTCTCCACAAAGTCCATGGAGAAGAGAGCATCATAGTACTCTTGGTACATGTGGAGCTCATCCTCTTCTTCCTCTGACTCCTCCTCTTCCATAGGCACATTCTCATTTTGGTTGCTCTCTTGCTCACTCTCATCAACCAATTGATTAACCTCTTTGATGATAAGATTTGTGTGTGGATGTGAAAAGATATGAAATGAGATGGTGGAATGCAATCAGTGGTATATGATGAGGTGGTAAGATGCAAACACAAACACAGTCAACAATTCCCTTTAACCATGATAGTTGATGTAGTACAAAGGGTTATCAATCCAAAATGGGAAACTTGTCACTCTATGAGAATATGAAACAACCAGAAAGTCAAGCAAGCAGTATAGATTTGAAGTAACACTAACAACCTAAAAAAAGAAAAGCAGTGCAATAAAAGTAAACAAAGCAGTGAAGTACAGCTCGACCAAGACTCGAGTCGAGTCAGAGCAAAGTACCAGCTCGATCGAGTTTAGGGACGAGTTGAGACAAACAAAGCTAAAGGTGACGACTTTAACAAGATAAAGAGAGAATTAGGGTTCAAGACAGGGTTTTGCAATCAAAGGAATCTACACTTAATCATCTAGCTCTTAAAACTCCTTGTATCAAGGCTTCTCTTGATATTGGGCTTCTCAATGCCTAGCCAACCCTTTCCCAAGGTGAAGGTATCAACCAAGGAATGATCTCAGAAACAGGGGGTTAGCCAGTGAGAATCAAACCTTGGAGGCTATAGGATCATTGCCCAAACTAATCCATCCAACCCCTTAGACCTCTATTTCTAGAGCAAGAGATATTGGAGCTCTTAGTGGATCTTTTCCAGCGAATGCCATCACTTTCGTGTGGGGAATCGCCTAAGGACTTACAAGCCAGGGGTAGTGGTCATGTAGCCTTAAGATCTATCCAAAAGAGAGAGAATCTAGATTAAGACCATAAGCTAGAAGGATTAAGCATATGAAACCTCTAATCTATCCCATCTCAAACCCTAATGGGTAACTACTCACTACACATGAATGTAAACACAAGCAAATGCAATAAAAGAGACATCATAAGAAAGAGGAGATGAAATTAAACAACTTTTATTGAAATAAGCAAGTGCAAATACAAAGAGATTATCCAGGATCTAGGATTCAAGAAGCAAGAGCTTCAAGAACACAAAGATGGGATTAGATCTCTAAAAAGTAAAAGACAATAAATTAAAAGAAACTAAAACAAAATAATCTAAAGCTTGGTGGTTTTTTCGTGGCTTAGAGCCTTTAAATACAAAGAGGATTAGGTTTAGGGTCAAAGGAAAGTCAAGGGGGAAGCAACATTTTTCGGGTTTGACTTTGACTTCTCAGCTCGATCGAGTTGAAGCTTGGCCGGTCGAGTTGAGGAACTCGACCGGTTGGTCGAGTAGACGGTCGAGCTGGTCTTCAAGATGGCTTCTCCCTTCTTCCTTTGCGTATCCAGTTGAGCTGCTCCATGTGCCAAGTCCCTCCATGCTCCTTGTCCCATATGCTCCAGAATGCTCCAAAAGACCTATTTCAAAGGACCAAACATGCATATGTATGCAAATGCAACCTAAAACTAACATGAATGCATAAGAAGAGAAAAGGAACAAGATATGATGCAAATGAAGCTAAAACTATGCAAAAGATGCATAAAAGATGTGCTAAAACTATGTAAAATGCAAGTACATCAACACCCCCAAACTTGAACTTTGCTTGCCCTCAAGCAAACAAATAGAACAAGAAAGAGATGAGGTTTGAAAAGCTGATTCAACACTTAAAAACATGTCCTCAAAAGCGATTTGCTAAATGTCCAACTTAGAGATTCTAGAATGCAACAAGGTGAGAGATATTCATTAAGATTTAACCATGCTTATCAACATCAATCCCACTTCACAGTCACTCAAACAATGCATTCAAATCAGCAAATCCCTTTAACATTCATTAAGCAAAAACAGTGAACCAAAAACATGCAAGATCAATCAACTCATTTGGTTTCAAGGGTTTATGGGTTAAGAGACAAAGAGGGTCTCTTTTGTATGGTGGTTTAGTAACAGGGATCTCTCAAGAAAGTGGCTTTGCTTTGGCAGAAGGCTAAGTGTTAGAACCAAAGATGATGCAAGAACAGCAGCTCGAGCCGCCTAATCCTAACTCGATCGAGTTCAACACTTAGAGCTTTTTAGAACAAAATCCTAACTACCCTTTTTGGCATTTCGCCTTTGAAACTGAGGAGCTTTGCTCACTTTTCTTTTAAGAACTTCCTAGGGAGAGGCTTCTTGAGGTAACATCTAGCGGTTTGGGATTTTCTAAACACTTAGGGAACTTTTCTTTCCTTTTTGACACTTGAGGCTTTGCCTTCTTTTCATTCTACTTAGAACCCTTTTTTTTTTTTTAACTTCCCAAACCTTTACTAGACCTTTACTAGACCCTTTTAACACTGCCAACTCCCTGGACTTAACCAAACTCTTTTTACTTTGGGTTTTTCCCAATTTTTACCACTTTTCTGGTTTTTACACCCAACTCGATCGAGCTCGAGTTGGCACCCCCAAACTTAGCCTGAAAACAATCCCAAGAGAACTAGACAACTAGAACTACTGCCCCTGCCGGTTTAAACACAACACCTTATGCTAAGCAAAGCCAAGAAAGGTTCTCACATTCGCACAAGAGATAATAATGGGGTTTGAAATGAAAAGGCTTAGGTTTAAGGTGTGGTAACTGTCTCAAAGATAGAGATCAGCTATCTGGACAAGCAAAAGGGATATGAAAATAGGTAAAGAATGTCCAGATATGTATGTGGTAGCCATGAGTTGAAATCAAATGCAAGCATTGGTAATTAAAGATCAAGTTATGGTTCAAATAGATAGGGAAATGCATCAAATCACAGCAATGGTTGAATGAGATGTGCATGCAGCGATATGATCAAGATAAACATGGTTCTTGCTGCTCAATCAATCTCACCCTAATGCACAAAAGAATCTAAAAACAGGGCACTCAAGAAATCGCAAAAGATGGACAAGTTTTCAAAGTCAAATCAACAATGCAAGTGAAAAATGCAATCCTAAACAAGTCTAACAAATATGAATGCAAAAAGATGAAAATATTTTTGGATTTTTTGAAAATTTTATGATTTTTTTGGTTTTTCTATGCAAAAGATAAATGAAAAACTAAGAACAAAGAAAACAAGGTTAAATCATCTCTTGAACCCTCCCCCAAACTTAAATCACACAGTCCCTTGTGTGAGAAAAATTAGTGAAAGATTCAAGAGGGCAAAACCAAGAAAAAACAAGAACAAATGCAAGAAAATATGAAATGGTATATACAAGGGTTGGTGTTTGGATACCTCAGTGCCCCCCAAAGAACTGGGAGGCTAGGTCGTGGTCTGGAGATGGTAGACGGCCATCAGGAGCACTCCACTCAACTGGGTTTCGGCTCACTCGATCGAGCTTGTGGCTCCTCTTCCTCCTCTTCTTCATCTTCAAAGTGGGTGTGGCTTCCTTGGCCTTGGTGGAGCTTGGTGCTCGTAGCTGTGTAGGGGTCCAAGTCTGAGAGAAGTCCTGGTACTGGGATCGTACTCGAATCCGGATCTCAAACAGGGGCTCCTCCAGGTCAACTCGACCCTCAGCTCGATCGAGTTGAGTTTCCTCTGTTTGGACTCGATCGAGTCCGGTGGTCGAGCTGGAGCGTCTGGCCTTGGAAGTCTTCCTCCTTCTCTGCGTGTTGTCTTCTCCTTCCCTTGGCTCGAAAGAAGAGGCTCTGTGAGGCTCTTGGGCAGGGAGCCTCCTTGGGTGGTGAGGAGTGATCTACTCCTAGGGAAAGTGGGGCCTTGGACTTCTTCTTCTTGCTTGAAGAACCAGAAACCTTCTTCTCCAAACTTTTGATCTTGCTCACCATCTTGTCCATGGACTTTTGCATCTTCTCAATGGCTTTCCCTTGCCATTTGTTGAACTTTTGGAGAAGTCCAATCCTCTTGTGGGCAGCCACAACAGAGGGGTTCATCCTTGGAGCCTCATACTCCTCAAAGTAATAGCACTCAGGCTCACCCAAATCCGCACTCTCCTGGCATCTTCAGCTCGATCCTCAGCTCGACTCAGCTCGATCCTCAGCTCGATCGAGCTCAGGCTCCTCTTCTCGCAAATCATCCTCATGCCCAACTAATGTGTACACAGGGGGTCTGAAGTCAATGTTCTCACCCCTTACTACTGTGGTGAGCTCTGGGTTAGGCAGGAGAACTTGGAGGGTCCAACCAATGGATGTGTGAACTTGAATTGGAACCTCCCATCCAACTCCTTGTGCTCAATGAGAAGGTTGGTCTTGCAAAACTTGATGTCCATCCAACCTGGTTCAGTGGCTCTCTTATCAGTTGGGTTCACTCCAGCAGCACACAAGATAGGTGTGATGAGCCCTCCAACACTTAGGCGCCTTCCCTCGTTGATGCCTAGTGTTGTAAGGCTGTGATCTTGTAGGTAGGAGTGGTCAAGGAAAGGCATCAAGTTCCCTGTGTCAGATCTATCTCCCCTGATCCTCTTGCCATCGCTTGTGCGTGAGAGAATGGGCTTGATTCCCATGTCAAGAAACTTGAGTTCCCCCTCGTTGATTGTCCCGGTCGCCTTCCTTGCAAAGAAGGTGTTGGCAAGTGCCTTGTGCACATATCTCAAGACTGGGCTCCTGATCTGAGCTGCCTTGGACCTTGAGGAAGAGTACACTCCATCAGCGATTGTAGCCCAAACCCTTTGGAGTTCCTTTTCCTTGAAGTTCCACTTGGTTCCCTCTCCATAGTTGAACCCAAACAAGATTCCAGCTGCCTAAAGGTCACCATTCTCTTCTCTCCCTTAGCCAAGAACGTGATCCATCCCAATCCTTGGTCCAAATCAGCTCTATCTTCCTCTCATACATGTGGTACCTCATTGAAGCTAAGAACTCACAAGTGAGCTCCTTGTAGGATTCCATGTGGTAAGAGAAGAACTTGGCCAAGTGCATGTTCTTGAGACCAAGCTCCACATCAAAGATTCCAAGGGCCTTCATTGTGTCAACATGTGGGTACTTGGTGTCCATGAAGTCCATGGAGAAGAGAGCATCATAGTGCTCTTGGTACATGGGGAGCTCATCCTCTCTTCCTCTGACTCCTCTCTTCCATGGGCACATTCTCATTGCTCCTCATGCTCATTCTCCTCAATCTCTTGATTGACCTCTTCCCCTCTTCTTCACTTGGGACTCATCATTCTCCTCTTGGGATGTTCACTCCAATCTCAAACTCTCCCTTCGCTCTCACTACTGATAGGATCATTCCTCTTCTTGGTTCTCCTCTCTTCCCTCAATTCTCCTCTCAGACCTCCTCAGAGACATCCTCTCATCTGCTGGTTCCTCTTGATCTCATTCCAAATCCTCATCTTGCTCCTTTCTCTCATTCTTCTTGCTTCTCTCTGCTTTTGAAGCTGCTTGGCTTCCTTCACCTCTCAACATCTTACTTGTTTCTTGTTGGGTCCTGAAATGCATCAAAAACTCAAAGAATTAGAGTTGCAATGATCGGTTTGGTCAACTCGACACTCAGCTCGATCGAGTCAAAAAACTCGAGTGACAAACTCGATCGAGCTGGGTGAAAACAGAGTATAACCAAACCTAATTCAAGTATTAAGAGCTGGAAAGGATGCTAATCAATCAAATTGAACCAAGAACAACTAGTAAATGGAACAATGAGCAATTCTAGTGAAACTAGCATCTTAACCAATACCAAACTCAAATTCAATTTTCAAGCACATGCAACAAGTTCTAATGCAAAACAGAGGTGAGGTGAGGCAAATTCACAAGATTATGCAAATAGAGAAAAGAAAGCAATTACTCAAGCAAGTCCACAAGGGACACATGCAATCAAAAATCAAAGGAAACAAGCAATAGGAAATCGAGATGAAGAATCAAGGGTTTAGGGTTCATACCTTGCTTGATGATGGAAGAATCACAGAAACAAGAACTAAACAAGAAGCAAAACAAGAGAAATCGCAAAAACTTAAGAGAGAAAGGAAAATCGATTTTTCTTGTGGTGATGAGAGAGAGAGATGATTTCAGAAATTTTAAGATTGTGGGAGAGAGAGAAGGGTGGATTCGATCGAGTTATGGGGAAGAGGAGTGTTTGAGATGTGTGGTTGAGATTAAAAGGTGAAATAAAGAGGGGACAAGAAGCTAGGGATTTCTGATCAAATTAGGGTAGTGGGGGACCAAAATCAGCTTGTGGGACCCACTCCCTTGACCAAGAAAACGGTTATGAATTTGAAATTCAAAAACTTACCTCGGTCGAGTTGGGAACTCGATCGAGTTGCCCTGGTTTCTAGCTCGATCGAGCTGTCGGTCGAGCTGGCTCCTTGACACCTAAACTTAACTTATTCAAAGGTTAAAACATAAAGATAGATAGAAATTGCATAAATAGAGTATGTACAAGGATAAACATGGGACTTCCTCCCAAGTGAGCTTGTTTAAGGTCCCATAGCTTGACCTTTACCTTCTTAGGCATTGGTTGAGCTAGTCCCACCATCAAGGGTGATAGTGAGGACTTGAGACAGAAGCTCCTTTAGCTTGGTTGGGTCCCTGGACTGTTCTGAAGTCACCAAGGCCTTGGCTCTAGAGAATGGCCTTGATCTCCCCTTGTACCTTATCTTGTACTCAATCTTCCCATTTTCAAACTTGGTGGGGAACAAAGTCATTGTGAGCTGAGATGGCTTGACTGAAGGGGCCTGAGCTGGTGGATCCTTTCTTTTATCTCCTGGTCTTGCCTTAGAGGCTGCATCCTCCCCTTCTTTAGAGCCCTTCCTAGTGGCTCATCAAACAAAGCTTGAAGGCTCTCTTCATCAAGCACACAAGGGGCTTGAACAAGTCGCTCAGCTCTTGGCCTATCAGATCGTGGTTTCTCAACTCTAGCCCTCTCAAGACGTGGCTTCTCAATCCTTGGTCCTCTCTCATCCTTATCCTTCCCAACTCTTGGTTCCTTGTCAACCCTTTCCTTCACAACCTTTGTAGCTCCATGACTCTTAGAACTGAGATTGGTACTGTCAATTGTGGCACAAAAGTCTGAACCTCTAGGCTGCAAGCGATATGACACCAAACTATTCACCTTGTGAAGGATCACTTCTTGCTTGTGAAAGTCAATTGAAGCGCCAACTGTACTAAGGAAAGGGGTTCCCAATAACAAAGGCAAATCCTTCTCTTCTTCCATTTCCATCACAGTGAGATCAGTTTGGATGATGCATTCTCCAATTTTCAAGTGATAGTTCTTGAACACTCCAAGAGGAGACTTAGTAGTTGCATCGCCTTGTATTTCGATTTCCTACTCTAAGTTTTATTGCAATCATGTTTTCTTCATCTCTATGTGTGTTTGCTTTGATCATGTCTGAGTAATCCACTAGTTAGGTTGCTAGGGTTACTATTCAATGAGTTGCTTGCATGATCTTTGATTTCAATGATTAGCTAGGGATTATATTAGAGTCTTTGTCTCGTCTTGTGCACTTAACTAATGCTGATTGCTTTACCGCGCATCTAGTAATCCGATCTTAGGTTGATTTGAGCCTCGACAGTGCTGTATCATTCGCCGGACATATTCTTTGACAAGCTAGGTTTCTTAGACTGCGAAAGTTGATCTACTATATCTAGTGAACTGTATCAGAACCTATTCATTCTAAAGCTTGATTTAATCACCTAGGGACATACCAAAAGTTTAGCGACTAGGTAGATTAACAAAGGAGCCGGAGCCTCGAAAGTGGAATGGTTTTATATTCGTGATCTGTGTTCTAGACGGTTCTTAATATCCCAACATCCCTAATCAATTCATCTATCATTGTTTCATTGATCATTGCTTGCTTCTCTGCGATAGCCCCTATGACCTAGCGCTTTTCCTTTATTGATTTACAACCTCGTTATACTTGCTAGTTCGGTTCACCATTACAACCTCAATCATACTTTTGTTTTAGCTTGATCCAAAATCCATAGTTTCAAAGTGTACTCAATAGCCAGTCCTTGTGTTCGATACCCATACTTCCGCGATCTGTGCACTTGCAGAGGTCTAGGAGTTTGGTAAAACCTGACTCCACATCAAGTTTTTGGCGCCGTTGCCGGGGACTGCAGCAGTACCTTTGAGGCTCGACTAGGATCTAGTCTAGAACCTTTTCCTGTTTTGCTTTTCTTTTGCTTTTGAATTTTTAGTTTTTGATTTCTTTTTCTTTGATTTTTGCTTTTGTTTTTGTTTTTCCCTTTTGATTTAGTTTGTTTCCTAAGACTCTTTTCAGGTGCATGACTAGGAGGTCCAACAAGGACAACCTAGTTGAACATCCAGAGATAGACAAGCTTGAGAAGCAACTTAGGAAGCAGAAAGCCCAAGAGATGGCCGACGAAGCAGCTCGCGCTCACGCCGCTGAAGTGGCGCGCGCTCAAGAAGAAGGACGAGATCCACCTCCTCCTCCTCCTAATCCACAAGACCCTGCTGGAGATGTGAATGTGCAACCTCAAGCTGGAGCACCAACAATCGGAGATTATGACTCTGCCGATGCTTTCTTCATGGATAGAAACCCTATCCATCCACCACTTCCTGCAAGGAATGACTATGAGATCAAGCCTCAGATCATAGCATTGGTTAGACAGAACCAATTCAATGGACTTCCAGCTGAGCACCCTCTTGATCACATAGAAAACTTTGAAGAAATTTGCAGCACTACAAGATCCAATGGAGTCTCTGCTGACTACCTTAAGTGCAAGCTCTTTTCATTCTCTCTTGGCGACAAAGCTTCAAGATGGTTGAAGTCTCTGCCAGCTCACTCCATTACCACTTGGGATGAGTACAAGGCCGCTTTCATCAACCACTTCTACACCAAGCAAAGATCGATTTCTGTAAGGAACAAGATCTCCAACTTTCGCCAAGCCAACAATGAATCTTTCTATGAGGATGCTATGGTTTTCACTAGAATTGCTTATTGTCCAAATTACTTGATGTTCGTGGTTCAATTTGATTGTCAAAAATCCTTTCTAACCCTTATTACTTAAGTAGGATTTGTTCTACTCTGTTCTCACTCAGCTCAATCGAGTTTGTCACTCGAGTTTTTTGACTCGATCGAGCTGAGTATCGAGTTGACCGAACCAGTGGTTCCAACTCTAATTCCTTGAGTTTTTGGTGAATTTCAGGGACTCAACTTTAAGAAGCAACAAGTCTAAGATGTTGAGAGGTGAAGGAAGCAAGGTAGCGTTCATAAAGGAGGAGATAAAGAGAGGAGCAAGGAGAATGCTAAAGACACTAACCAAGGAAGATGAGGAAGAGATTGAGAGGTTGAGGAAAGAGAGAAGAACCAAGAGGAGGAATGACCCAATCAGCGGTGAGAGTGAATTGGGAGAATTCGAGATTGGGTTGAACCATGGAAAGGGAGAAAGTAATGACTCCTCAAATGAAGAAGGGGAGGAGGTTAACCAAGAGATAGAAGAAACCGAGACTCAGCAAGACAAACCAGAACTCGATCGAGCTGAGAAGAGAATGGACAAGGGAAGTTCCAGCCAACATCATCTGCGAGCAGGGGCTCGCCGTAATCGATCACCTCAACTGCGTAGACGTGCTCATCAGGTAGGCTGTCGTCTAGAGGGACGTCATCATCGATCTTCATCCTTGACAGTGATCAGCTACACCGTTGTCAATCCCTTTCTTATCCTTGATCTCCAGATCGAACTCCTGTAGCAAAAGAATCCATCTCAGGAGTCTCGGCTTCGCATCCTTCTTCGTCAGCAAGTACTTCAAGGCAGCGTGATCAGTATGGACAATCACCTTCGATCCAACAAGATAGGACCGAAACTTCTCAAACGCAAAGACCACCGCATAGTTCTTTCTCAGTCGTAGCGTACTTGCACTGAGCTTCATCAAGAGTGCGACTGGCGTAGTAGATCACGTGCAGCTTCTTCTCCTTTCTCTGGCCCAGAACCGCTCCGACAGCATAGTCACTAGCATCTGTCATGACCTCGAACGGAAGGTTCCAGTCTGGAGGTTGGACAATTGGAGCACTCACCAGAGCTCCCTTGATCGTGTGAAAGGCCTCCAAGCATGTACTGTCAAAGTCGAACTTGACCTCCTTACACAACAGCTGCGTCAAAGGTCTGGTGATCTTGGAGAAGTCCTTGATGAATCGCCTATAGAACCCTGCATGTCCCAGAAAGCTGCGGATTCCCTTGACAGAATTAGGCGGCTGCAGACTCATCATCACCTCGATCTTCGCTCTGTCAACCTCGATTCCCTTCTGAAATCCTATGTCCCAGCACGATCCCATCTCTCACCATGAAGTGGCATTTCTCCCAGTTCAGCACAAGATGTCTCTCCTCACACCGCTGCAATACCCTGCACAGATTAGACAAACACACAGCAAAGGAGCTTCCATAGACGGAAAAGTCGTCCATGAAAACTTCCATTATGTCCTCAATAAGGTCAGTGAAAATAGACATCATGCAGCGCTGGAACGTGGCCGGTGCATTGCACAGTCCAAACGGCATTCTGCGATAAGCATAAGTGCCATATGGACATGTGAATGTCGTCTTCTCCTGGTCGTCTGGGTGGATGGGGATCTGAAAGAAACCTGAATAACCATCTAAAAAGCAGTAGTATGGATGGTTAGCCAATCTCTCAAGCATTTGATCAATAAACGGGAGAGGAAAATGATCTTTGCGAGTTGCAGCATTCAGTTTACGGTAATCAATGCACATGCGATGACCAGTGACAGTTCTAGTGGGTATCAGCTCATTCCTATCATTCTTAACAACAGTTATACCACCTTTCTTAGGAACTACATGCACAGGACTAACCCACTTACTATCAGATATAGCATAAATTACACCAGCCTCTAGAAGTTTCATTATCTCTTTCTTGACAACATCTTTTAGATTCGGGTTTAACCTCCTCTGATGTTCTACAGAAGTCATCGATTCATCTTCTAGATGTATTCTATGCATGCAAAGATCAGGAGAAATTCCAGGATGTCATCTAGCGAATACCCTATAGCTTTTCTATACTTCCTAAGCTCACAGAGAAGCAAAGCAAGTTCAACATTGTTCAGCTCAGCATTCACTATCACAGGGTATGTAGAGTTAGGTCCCAGAAATGCATACCTGAGCCCCGCAGGGAGTGTTTTCAGCTCGAGCTTAGGTGCGACTCCAAGGGCTGTTGACGGGACTCTCCTGAGGTGGAGCCGATCGATCTGGCATCTGCTTCGATCGATCCTCCTCGTCCTCCAAGCTCATGTACGCCACCAGTCTCTCCATCTTGCCGCACGCATCCATCATTTTCCCGAAGCCATCGGCTCCTCATTCAGGAAATCATACTCTCCTTCAGCTTTAGTCAAAGCTACCTCCAGAGGGTCGTCAAGAAGCATCTCCTCACTCACTTCGTCCACCAAGTTTGAGCCATCTTCAATCACATAGTTTGCCCATCTAACATTGGCTTCTTGAGGAGTTTGTTCATCTCGAACCTCATGACGATGTCTCCCAGATGGAGATCAATGATTCCTCCCTTCACATCAATGATTGCACCAGCTGTGCATAGGAAGTTTCGCCCTAATATCAGTGGATCTTTAGGCTCTTCGTCGAGCTCGAGGACTACAAAGTCTGCTGGAATGAGTGTGTTCCCTATCTGCACATGTAGATCCTCAAGTATACCGACTGGGAACTTAGTCGATCTGTCAGCGAAAACCAAAGAGACTTTCGTGGTTTGAACTTGGTGTATCCCAGTCGCTTGGCCACAGAATACGGCATCAGATTCACGCTCGAGCCTAGATCACAAAGAGAGCATGCGAAGTCATGTGACCGATCTGCACTGACAAGACAAATCTTCCTGGATCACTCCTCTTCTTGATCACCTTGTTCTGCAGCACAGCGCTACACTCCTCCGACACTAGCATGACGTTTTCCTCCTCAGCTACTTTCCCAGATATCAGCTCCTTCATGTACTTCTTCAAGCAGGAATCATCTGAACAGCATCAGACAGAGGCAGCTTCACAGTCAAGTCCTTCAACATCTCCTTACACTTTGCATCCTCCAAGTCTTTTCTGGACTTCTTCCGTGGAACAGGGTAAGGCACCTTAGGCGTGTAAGCTCTGGCTGGAGCAGTCTCTGCAGCTGCAGAGTAGGTAGGTCAGAATGGGTTCCTGAGACGACGAGGCGTCATCACCAGCTCGATCGACTCCACTCGAAGCAGCTCGATCGACTTCAGTCACATGTTCCGGGTTCTCGTCGACTTTCTCCTTGCCTGACCTTTTACGAGGAATCGCAGCAGGTAACAGCTTCCTCCCACTTCTCAGCTCAACTTGTGCAACATACTCATTCCTGGGGTTTTGCTCTCCTTTCCCAGGAAGACCCATTCAGATCGTTGTACATGGTGTCTATCTTCAGTGTGTCTCCGCAGTGGACTTCTGCTGGTTCATCAACATCTGCTGCATCATACCCTTAAGCTCATCGTTCGAGTTGTTCGATGAACTTGAAGGTTGTTGCTGTTGCTGAACTGCGCCTTCTGTTGGTTACCACCTTGAGAACGGTTCTGGTTTGGGGCAAAGGTCTTCTCCTGGAAGCTGTTAGGTAGCTCTTCTGATAACTCTGCTGGTTCTGGTTCGATCGAGGCGGATAGACCTGATCCTGAGGGTTCTCGACGTTGGTGCTCCTGTAGGACATGTTCGGATGGTTTCTGTAGTTCGAGTTGAAACCACGGTTCGGCACAAAAGGCTTGCCCATTCACATAGTTGACCTCCATCTGATCATCTTCATCCTCTTCTCCTCCAAACTCTTGAGAGATAGGTGTATCATCATTTTCGTCAACAAAATGAACAGACTTCTGCTGCGCCTTCATCAATAGATTCACCTTGGCCGTGAGTTCCTCAATCTTCTTCGCTTCAACGCTGCTTCCTTGACTGATACAGTGCTCACTGTTCTGTCGTACTCAGCGTTCTTGTTGCTAGAGCTCGCTGCAAGATTCTCGATCAGCTCGAATGCACCTTCTTTGGACTTAGTCATGAAATCGCCATTGCTGGCTGCGTTCAAAGCGTTCATGTAGTCCCAGTTGACTCCATCATAGAAGATGCTCAGGATTCTGCTCGTCAGAGTATCCGTGATGAGGACACTCTCTTCGGTACTCCTTGTATCTCTCCCATGCTTCGCAGAAAGCTTCTCCATCATGCTGGTGGAAAGATGCGATCTTGGTCCTCAGAGCTGCATTCTTGGACTTCGTGTAGAAGTGGTCCAGAAACGCCGCTCTAACTTGGTCCATGAAGTCAAAGACCCAGGTGGTAATGACTTCAGCCAGCGAGATGCTTTGTTGGCAAGTGAGAATGGAATAGCTTGCACTTCAGAAAGTCAGCCGGTACTCCATTCGAACCAGTCGTGCTGCATATCTCCTCAAAGTTCTGGATATGGTCCACCGGAATCTCAGCAGGAAGTCCATGGAAGATGTGATCCTTGACTAGAGCGATCATGCTGGGCTTGATCTCGAAGTCTTGCCTCTGAACGTTTGGAGGGACAATCGCAGACCGGTTTTGATAGAAGGTGTGCGGATTGTCCTTGTCTCCAATAGAATCACGTGGTTGCGGTTCTCTATCTTGTTGAGCCTTCCGCATCTGCTCTATCTGCTGCTGAAGCTGCTGCAACTGAGCAGCCATGTTCTGATTGCCGTTATCGCCCATGTCGGCTGGATTCGGCCTCTGTTGTCTGTTTGGCCTTCGTTCTGCGTTGGACAGGCCTTCGTTGCGGTTGCTCCGTCGAGATCTAGTGTTCATGCACCTGAAACACACACAAGAAAAACGAGAGAAAACAAGTTAGTAAATCTTAGACTAAATTTTAAATCAAGAATCAAAGGTAACGAATTGGTCCCCGTCGCAACGGCGCCAAATTTGATAGTCTAAAATAGATCCTTTTCTCTACTGCAAATAACAGTGATGAAGATTGTAATATAAAGGATTCGAAATCCAGAGGACCAGCGTTACACTATGAATCTAGGAGATTCAAAACAGAGCTAAGACAAAATGATTGGTTTTAGTAACAGGTAACGAATGTAAACGTTGATGTAATTCAAATAAAACAAGCACTAGACCAAGGCAATTCGCAGAGATTCACGGTTAACAACCAAACAACTATTCAGGGCACAGATAAAGAACAGGTCTCGAACTCAAACAAAACAATATGTCAATTCACTGTCGCGATAATAACAATTTTGTCTATCAACCTAGATGTCTAAACTGTCGTTTGAATCTAGCAATTGATGACAAGCAATGCGCACAGGTTCGATAAGTTCACGAATCGCCTTAGCATCAACTTTCGCAGGCTAAGGACGATTCGCTCACCACAGTTCGTTCTAACAACCTATTGCACTTTTGATGAACAGGTAATCTGAGATCAGAGATCGAGTGATCAGATCGATCTAAGCAATGAATGCAACAATGGCGAAGACAGTATAAAGCCCTATCTGTATTCAGTAGTTAACACATGAATCCCTTTGAAAAACCTAGATCTAGCAGGGTGACTACTCAGACATGACGAAACAGCAAACAATAACTGAATGAATGTCATTGAATCAAATAAGAAAATAGCAAAACAAAGGGTTCAGAAATCTTCTCCAAACTGTGAAAACAATAGGTTCGATTCTTCTCCCTAGAAACAATGAAACACTCTGAAAAACGGCGTAGCCTAAACAATGGCTGAAAATAGGTCTAAATAGCTCCAGGGTCGAGTTCGGTTCAATCCGGTTTAAGATGACAAAACCGGGGTCGATCGAACCGGTGAGATCGATCGACGCGACACAGATTGGACGGCTGAGATCAAATGATGCATGGCGCACATGGGTTCGATCGAGTGGGTGTACCAGAAGGCAGATCGATCGAGCTGGTACTGCATGATGAGGGTCGATCGACTCAGCTCGTCTCGCACGAGGTCGATCGAGCTGGTTGTAGAGCATTGGGTCGATCGAGCTGTGTAGGAGATCGATCGAGCTCCTCTTCTCTCCGTTTTGCCTGCTTTCGCCTGTTGTTGGTCCATGTGACCAAAGCTCTCCCTGGAACGTCTTTAGACCTGAAAAGACTCGATAAAGACTAGAAAGACTCGATAAAACTCGTGAAAACAAGGGTTAGAATGCGTCAAATACGCAAGATATCAACTAGATCCAGTGCTGACTTGGATTGTACATCTGGCACCTTCTTGTGCTGGACCTTCACTTGTTTCCCTTGATTGCATGGACCACACACGATTTTCTCACATCCTTTCAGTTTTGGAACACCACGAACAATCTCCTTATTCACCAGAGTGGTAAGATGGCGAATATTCATGTGTCCCAATCGCTTATGCCACAGTTCAACATCATCTCGCACACTTAGGCATTTTGCAGATTGATCCCACATGTAGCAGTTGTTGCCTGAACGAACTCCTCGTAGAACTGCCTTTCCGTCAGCATCAATGGCTTTACATTCTAGCTTGTTCAAACCTTTATCGCATAGTTGGCTGACACTGATCAAATTTGACTTTAGACCTTGGACAAGATAGACATTCATAAGTTGTGGCTGCTCCTCAGATGTTCGTCCTTTGCCTTGAATAGTTCTTTGGTTCCACATCCAAATGTCACTTTCCTCCTTTTAACTGCTTCACATCCTGCAGATTTTCTTTCATGCCAGTCATATGTCTGGAACAACCGCTGTCGAAGTACCACGTTCCTGTGTTGTCCACCTCATTGCTTTCTTCAAATAGTGCCATATTGGAGCAGAATCGCTGTCTTGTACCACCTGGTGCTGTACGTCGAGCATGATTCTGGTAAAGATCAGTCTTCATGATGAAGACTTGGTTCAGTCCATGATTCCAGTAGTAGCGTCCTTGTCTCCAGGCGTGATCAACTCTAGCACAAAACTTGTTGCAGAACGCCTTGATATGACCCACAACTCCACAAAAATAGCACTGTTTCCCTTGATGTCCTCTGTGGCGATGTGATGCTCTAGCATTACTGACTTTCTTAGCCTCATATCCTAATCCCATGGTGGTCTTTCCTCGATTTCCACTCCTTAGGATGGGATCAGGTTTCTGTGCGGATGATCTAGTCTCTGCTTGAACAACATCTTGAGCTATTCCTCCAGACACGAAAGTGACTGTCTTGCCGGTTGATCCACTTCCTGTTGAGTATCCCAGACCAAGATTTGACTTCCCAACTGATGATAGGATTTGTGTGTGTGATGTGATGATATGATATGAAATGTAAATGAGGTGGAATGCAACAGTGGTATATGAAGATGAGGTGGTATGGTGCAAAACACAATCACAATCAATCAATTCCCCTTAACCATCATAGTCATTGAAGTATAAGGGGTATCAATCCATAAGGGTGAAATTTTACTCTATGAGAATATGCAATAACAAGAAGTCAAGCAAAGTAAAGAGATATGTAACACTAACAACCTAAAGAAATGAAATGCAATGCAGAAAGTAAAGAAAGCAGTAAAGCAAGCAGCTCGACCAAGGACTCGAGTCGAGTGGGAACAGAGTAACCAAGCTCGATCGAGTTGAGGGTCGAGTTAGTGTAAAAAGCGATAAAGGCAGGAACTTTAACAAGCTAATGCGAATATTAGGGTCTAAGACAGGGTCTTACAATCAGGGAAGGCTATACTTAATCAATCTTGCTCTCAAACAACTTGTATCAAGGTATCTCTTGATATTGAGCTTCTCAATGCCTAGCTAACCCTTTCCCAAGGTGAAAGCTATCAACCAAGGCATGATCTCAGAAACAGGGGGTTAGCCAGTGAGAATCAAGCCTTGGAGGCCATAGGATCATTGCTCAAACTAATCCATCCAACCCTATGAACTCCATTTCGAGAGCAAGGTTATTGGAGCTCTTAGTGGACCTTTTCCAGCGATTTCCATCACTTCCATGTGGAGAATCGCCTATGGACATACAAGCCAGGGGTAGTGGTCATGTAGCCTTAAGGATTGTCCAAAAGAGAGAGATTTCTAGATTAAGAACATAAGCAAGAAGGATTAAGCATAAATCCCCTAATCTAGCCCATCTCAAACCCTAAAGGGAACTACTCACTACACATGAATGAAACACAAGCAAATGCAATGAAATAGACATTAAAGAAAGAAGATAAAGATAACAACTTTTATTGAAATAAGCAAGTGCAAATACAAAGAAATAACCAGATCTAGGTTCAAGAGCAAGAGCTCAAGAACACAAAGAGAGGTTAGGGTTGCTAAAAAGTAAAAGACAATAATTAAAGAAAAGCTAAAAAAATAAGCTAAAGATTGTTGTCTTTTTCGTGGCTTAGAGCCTTTAAATACAAAGAGATTAGGTTTAGGGTCAAAGGGAAGTCAAGGGGGAAGCAACATTTTTCGGGTTTGACTGTTGACTTCTCAGCTCGATCGAGTTGAAGCTTGGCCGGTCGAGTTGAGGAACTCGACCGGATGGTCGAGTAGGTGGTCGAGCTGGTCTTCAAGATGACTTCCTCCTTCTTCCTTTGCGTGTCCAGTTGAGCTGCGTCCATGCACCAAGTCCTTCCTTGCTCCTCACGTCCCATATGCTCCAAAGTGCTCCAAAAGACCTATTTCAAGGACCAAACATGCATATGTATGCAAATGCAACCTAAAACTACTATGAATGCACAAGAAGGGAAAAGGAACAAGATATGATGCTAATGGATGCTAAAACTATGCAAAAGATGCATAAAAGATGTACTAAAACTATGTAAAATGCAAGTACATCACCAACACGACCAAGACTTAGGATCTTGTCGAGCTCCTTAGTTCCAGTCAACATCTTCAGTTGCTTTTGGTGATGTCATCTGCTCGTTTAACCGCTTCCATCTTTTCCAACATGATGTTGAGATTATCCATGTTGAGATCTTTTTCCGCTTGAAGTGCCTTCTAAAGTTCTCTAACCTTTTCTTCAGGACGAGCATTCTCCTTTTTAAGTTCGAGATTCTCTTTCCCGGTTTCAACCAAAGCGTCACGAACTTCTTTAAAGCTTTCATGGATATCAATTTCAGATTCTTCATCACTGGACGAATCATCAGTATCTGATTCAGATGCTTTTCTTTCTTCCACAAATTCAGAAATTTCGGCAAAGGCTACAAAGTTACTGATTTCTTCATCTTCATATGTATTTTCTTTAGACTCTTCATCAAAAACACCAATCATCAATTTTCCTTGCCTCTCGTCGCTTTCACATTCCTGTTGCGTGTGTCCGAGGCCTTTATACTTGTAGTATGTGATATCATCTATACTTCGGATGTTCGATCTCATCCTGGATTTCTAATATCCATTCTTTCCTGCATCAAGTATCACCTTTGACCTTCCCATGAATTCCAAGTGATAGCCCTAATTCCGCAAGATCTCACCTGCTATGGGTTAGTTTGAGGGTCTATATTATAATGTTTAAAATTTCAATCTCTTTTATTCAATAAAATGTAATTTTCAAAATAGACATTTTGTACTATTTTTGAAATTAGACATAAAAATATGACATCCAAAAACAAAAAGTATAATTTTTTAAACCCTCCAACAATTTAGAGACCCATTAACAAAAGTAGTCGCTGGGTTCCATTCTCAACTTTTTTTTTTCTTCTTTTTTTAACCAACCATTCTTAACTATTAAAAACCACAAATATTATATCTTTGTGAACACGAAGAGTATACCTATTGGTTTGACAAGACAGTCCGTATCATGTTGAAAATATTATAAACAATCAACCAAATGTTTTTGTTGGTTACTGACACAGTGACTTAGTGACAAGTTATATTCATAGTACTGCCACATGCGAATGATCAAGTCCCAAGAGGTGCAGCACGTGCACCAATCGAACAAACAATTCAATCTTTCTTTATGACAAATATTCTCTTATCTCCTTCTTTTTTTCCAAGAAAAATTCATGCCACCTCTCCTTTTCTTTTTTATTGAAAGCATTGCTTTTTATCTCTAAAATAACTTTGCTTTATAAAATTAGACATTTTCTATTTTTTAGGATGCAAATAGACATTTTCTATTCTCCTATTTCCAACAGTTTTATTTTTCTCTAAAACGTCTATCTTTAAAAAATGGAGGGTTTTTCTCTTTATTAGTTAATCTACTTGATGCAACCTGTGTAGTTTGAATGAATCATTTAGTTATATATTTTTTTTTTTTTTTAAATCATTTAGTTATTTTAAACTTGTATGTTTGTATTTTTCAATTATTACATTACCATTTAAATAATTATACTGTTGGTTTTTATTTAATAGCTTGTATATATTTCGAGCCAATACTCTGTTGACTTAGAAACAAAATGTATTTTTTTCCAAGTTTATAGATCAAAATAGGATGATTGGCTTGGCAAAACAGAATCTAAGCTACATAGAAAGTGTATAATGGCATCATCGGGATGAATTCAAAAGTAAAACAAAAAGCAGATTCCAAAGCCACCGCCTGTTTTCTATTGCCTCTTTCTTCAAATGTTAAGACTTAAGATCCCGTACCAATAAATGAAATCCACGTAACGTAGCTATATAACACTTTATTTCATGTAGAATTATATAAAATATTGCATCACAGACCATAACAGTAAAACACACTCATAATCCTCCCCCTCTCGTTTTATTACACACATATTAAACTACTATAGATCACTCTTATCATAAAATGGTTATTTCGATACTATAGATGCATTAAGTCTCATGACGTATGCAATATCAATTTGATTAAAAGAAGAAGCCATCTAGCTTCTTCGTCCTCCGCATCCACTCTCCCTCTGACAATTGAAGAAAACCGCAGCCGCAGGAAGGCCAAGATTGTAAATTTCAGCAAACTCACGAGTGTTGAAGTTTTGACGCCATCCTGGTGGATAGACTGTTTGTCTACCGAGCTGTCGGAACAAAACCAGCACGATGCGATGAATTCCCGCTGTTGGACTTGGATTCTCGTAACACACAACCTCATTGCCTGAAAACAAATCATCAAACACATTAGACATCTTTCTTTCTACCAATGAATTTTCATATTAATTACATTTACATGTATATAACTCTTTGTATCTTATGTACCGCCTAGCAATATTTTAAAACTCACCAAAGTTTGTTCCAGTTGTCGCAGGGATATCAGTAACCAACCTGTCGTGAAAGTTCCCATAGAGTCAATTTTAAATATTGTACCACCGCATACTTAAAATGCTACTTACTTAAGATTAATACCAAACAAGTACATAAATAGTAGATGATATGGGTGCAAATGAGATCCATAGTTCTATCATAATTGTCAACCAATATCTTTTCGGTACACGTGACTGCAAAACATGCATCAACATTTAAATTGAGTATCTAAAAATTACTTATGGTACACGCATATATAAAAGTGAGAGTAGCTAGTTATAAGAAAACAAAATATGTAAAAGCGAGACGACGGAAAAATGTTTGTGTGGTAGCTGTGATAATACAGAAACCTAGTTTTGCTCACTTCAATTCACAAAGATATGACATCAGGCTATTTTAAGGCAAAGGTTGTTCCGTACAAACAGCACTTTAAAAGTGGAAAACCATATCTTAGTACAAGTCCTGTCCTATACTTCTATAGAATCTATGCTGATTCAGTAAGAAAATAGTAATATTTATATATATATATATACAAAGATAAACTGCAATGTCCCCTTTTATTAAAGGTAATTATTTTTATAAAAAGGTTGTGTTATTTGAAGTCTCAAATATACGTATCCAATTTCCATGTGTGATTTTTCCATCTAATTAGGCCCTAAAGGAATGAAAGAGGTTAATTAGTGAACAAACCAATGGAGATATTCTCGGAGGTGTGGGTTGCTAGGACTCGGAACATCTGGATCCACCATAACCTTCATTAAACCCATTACCACGAAAAATCGTTACAAATATGTAGTAAAAAAATAAGAAAATGGGATTATGATTCTCAATGCGATCAAGAAAGCTAAATGTTTTTTTTTTTTTTTTTTTTTTTTTAAGATAGAGAAATGAGATAACACAAGAAACACAAGAAGAAGAAAAATAATGAATACAAAAAGGTAGTAGCTACATGTCTATATATAGCAGAGTCAATAAGACTGGCTTGAATATACATATTCAAACAGTCATCAATATATTCCACAACAGGGTTCGTATATTATTTATCAATATTTTTTTTAACTAAAAGTTCATGTTTTATAAAAGAACAATATTGTTGTATATTTGAACCTAAGTATTTTTTTGCCTTTTTTAAAATATCTTAGAATTAAAAATAAAAAGCAAACAAATACAATTTAAATTATTGGAGGAACAAAATACCAAAAACTAAAACGAAATTATGCAAAATATTCCAAAACTAAAACATCTGGGGTTTAGATAAGAGGCCAATTAAGAAAGAAGAAAATTATGGGTCGAATATCAAAATTAGATCAAAATTATTTACATTTAGTTTGAAAATGGATGAAATATCCAATATCTATTGTATTCATGTTCATGGTTAAACGTGAAAAAGGTAAAAGGTTTTTGATTTTGGGTATCTAAAATTGCCGAAGAGTAATGAAGCAATGAAGAAAGAAGACCGAGAGAGTTTAAGTGAACGTACCAAAGTGTAGAAATTCCTGAGGTCTTCTCCACCAATCTCAACCCTTGGCTTGTTGAGAACGTGAGACGGCCTTAGATCCAACCCATTAGTCACCTCTCTTTGGCCATATGTAACCCTTATAGTGATCGATCGCGTGAATGGGTCAAGAACGTCAGAAACAACTCTCCCTACCACAAGAGGATCTCTCGCACTCAAAGACATTTTTGATCTAAAGGAAACAGGTGGTTTATGATTTAATTTGTTCTTTCTGTTTCTTCGTATCTTATGAATTCGAACCCACTACTTGTAACTTATATATATAGTGTTTCGGGAGTTGCATTAACTCGGGTCGGTGAACTTATCACCACAATCTTTTTCTTGTCTGTGATGTTAGAATCTAAAACTGATTCTACGTACATCACATATATTGTCTTCTTATTTCTTTTTTTTTCTTTTTTTTTTTTTCCTATTTTGATATTTGTGGTATTCCAAACCCACCACTCTATTAGCTAGACTGATAATATTCTAAAATTTTATCTTACCCACTTGGTAGCCAACAATATTTGATTTATTTCCTTTAACTTGATACCTCTCTCGACTTTTGAAAGAAACAGCCAAAAAAGATACCTCTCTCGACCATATACTTGCCATATGTTTTTATACAAATATAGTGTTAACAAATATAAGCGAATTGTTTGTATACAAAGACATAAAAGATTTTCGATGAGAACAAACAGCAAAAACTTTCGTAAAAAATATTATCAATTCCAATATATCTTTTGACCATAAAAAAAATATAGATATATATATATATATATATATATATATATATATATGGTTTGATAATTCACTGGAGAGAATGTTTAATACATTACAAGGAAAACTATGATGATTAGTCGTTGTAGACAAGTAAAGAGTAAAGAAAATTATTGATTTAAGGATTGTGTTGATGTTAATCGAATTAACACGTTTAGATATATAGCATCTTTTGCACACCCAAAAAAAAAGATATATAATCTCAGTTGTGGACAAAAGAAAACTTAAATTGTAATATTAGGATATTTCAAATATACAAATTAATATAATACACGTTAATGTTTATAATAAGTGTTTATGTTGGTTATCTCAAATGGGAATTTCGTTATAGTTAAAATAATTGAGTTCAAACCAGCCATGTAATTAGATATTAGAAAAATTGATGATAGATACTAAATATTTTGCATAAGACGAACAAAAAATTGCATAGCCTTATATTTTTACAATGGAGCTCAAAATAAGACATAACCATTACATAGAAAAAAACTCGTCTTGAGAGAAGCAAGTTGTAAAACTTGCTTTAGCGTTCTTCTATGTTTAGACACACATGTGGCATATTTGAACATTTATCATCTATGAGGTGATGCACTTGAGATAGAAACTCGTGTCTTGGAATAAATATATCATGTCAATCTGTCCTTCAAACCAATAGACATAGAATTTTGTTTAACAACATCAAGTAGAATTTTATTAAATACTTAACTACTAAAAATTAAAAGTTAATGGCTACTTTTGAAAAGTTAAAACAAAAATAAAGTTGTCAAATTATCAACCTTCCTTTGCTCAGACCAGGTAGTACACTGGTAGATATATATACATATGCGCTTATATATAAAACTACTAAATTGGAAGATTGCGTTTTGGAAATTGCATCCTTATAAATAGATATATACCATCGCCACTAATTGGAGAATTTCTTAATTTCAAAGATGAATTTATAACCATAGCTACGAGACTGAAGGATCCATTCAGTGGCACATTTATGAACTTGATTCGTTCTTGATAAGTTTTCATAAATTTAAATAGCATACATTTGAAATAATTTATAATAGTAGTTTGTTATTGACTGTAAAATAGAAACTTAAACTTATCCAAATCTTATAATATTAAACTTATATGTTCTTTAAATCTATATTAGTTAAAACTAGATCATGATGTGTAATAATTTAGTGATTTGTGTTAGTATTATTGTTTTACCACCCGACAATATGCATGTAATTGACAGAAAAAATAGGTGTAGATAATGTATAGGAAACATTATGTTCTGATATTGATGGTTAGTTTAAGCAGAGTGTTTTCACGGCAATCAAGTGGTTGGTTAATCTAGTTTAACTGAAAACCGTAAGGGTTTTAGTCCACTTAGTTTTGTCTTTGGTTCATGTAACTTTCTTTACACTAAAATGATACAAAGACCATGCATGTAAATTTTCCAATCACTTCATGTAGTTTACATAAGAACAAAAAAGGTGTCATGCAGAGAGAGATAGTCACAGACAAGATTAATTGTTCGCTAGAATGAGAAAGATTGACTGTCCCCCACTTGTCTTTGAAATTTGAATACATTTGATCTATCCATCTTCTGGTCTGTATGATACATTTATACTTTTCAAGAAAATTACGTTAACAATGAGTTCTCTTCTTTTCTTTTCTTTTTTTTTTTTTTTTTTTTTTTTTCAATTTCTTTCTGTTCAATGGTTTTTCTACCTCATCGAATTTATATCAACATATTTAGTTAAGAAAAAATTGTTTATAAATAACTAACTATGACCCATTTGACCAGAGTACTCTTATAAGATTTTATTTGAAATTGTATCGATTAATTTTAGAAATACTTTGATAAATAAACTTAAAACCATGTTAAAAACATGTTAAAATTGTATATATCAAATTGTGAGATTTTGTGTGTAAACTTTGATATTGGTAAACTAACACCATGGTATCAATTATTTCTTAAAATTCTTTGATAAATAAACTTGGTATTTTTCTGCTCACTAGAGTATGACTCATTCGCAGTACACGTAGAGTTTATCCTAGATCAATAAGATCCAATCTACACACAAAATATTGGTGAATGGAAGGAGTTATATAGTAATAAACAGAGATAAGCTTCATAATATTTCAGAGGGGATGTTCTCATTAGTAAAAAAGTCTACATTATTCATAACTATAGTTTTCACTAGCTAGTTAAGCTGAATAACTACGTTACTAACAGTATTTGTTACAACCAATCAACCAATACATATATGAATATTTTTCTCCACATTGCCAAGTATAGAAGAATGAGATTATAGTAAGTGAACCCCACAATCTTTTTACAAAAAATGACCCTCAAAATCATCAGAGAAACTGAATAAATTCGGTACATGTGAAATCTTAGGATATGACAAGTTTTTCTTGGGTCTCAGGTCAAGTCGTACATAGCTCTTACTTTCTATATGTTCACTCGCCTTGTTCGCTTTTTGGCTTTGACGTCTGTGTGTATCTCTCGTGAAATTGGTGGCTGAAAAATATCAATAGTTCTTTTTTTTTTTTTTGGTTAAAGGATTTTCTGAAATTAAAAGAAAGAGAACTACATAGTAGTAGCAGATTAATTTACAGCCAAAAAAGCAACAAGAAAGAAGAAACAAAGATCATTCAAAGATCATCTGGAACCATTAGAGAGAGACCATTTTTGGAGAAGCAGTTCCCCATGAGAAGATCCCAAAATGTGCATAGCACGGCATTTTTCCATGGCAGAGGAGAGAATTAATCTAAACACATGTCCAGAAGAAAGTGAAAGTCCATCATGCATACGTCGGTTTCGTTCTTTCCAAATTTCATAAATAGATCCTTGCCATCCTTGAAGTAAAGCCAGTCTTGTAGAGGCTTCTAAGCGATTAACCAGGAGCCAATGTATTAGATGGTTCCAACTGAATGGCACATTATAGAGGTGAAGGTGAAGGGTTAGTCTTCGCCATACCAAATTAGAGAAAGAGCACTCGAAAAACAGATGATCCCGAGTTTCAAATTCTGTTCCACAAAGAAGACAGATCCCATCAGTTTCATATCCCCAAGCGGACATACGATCCATTGTTGGGTTCCGATTCAGAAGAAAAAGCCAAGTCGTTGTTTGATGACGAGCAAGACCAGCTTTATGCCACAATAAAGAAGCCCATGGAACCACTGGTTTTGAAATTCTAATCTCATTCCACACCGATTTCGAAGAAAACGAACGCTGAGATGTGCCATTAACTAACCAGATTGGACTATCACTTTGAGAAGAACAGCTAATGGTTAGAAGGTAGGAGTGGAGAGCAACCTGGCGTTCTATGCGTGCCGGAGGAAGAATCCATCCATTGTTACTCCAAACCTCAGAAACCGTCGCATAGAGAGGAATCCCCAACCGAGAAGGTCCTTCCTCACCTAGAAATGCATGCAAATGGCCAAAGGGTGTCCACGGATCCCCCCAGAAGAAAGTAGAGTCCCCATTGCCAAGTTTAATCCTGAGAAACTGAGTGGCTGTTGAACGAAGCTTCAAAATCTTCCTAAACATCCACGAGAAGGAATAATTCTTCTCGTTTAATGCCCAGAAAGAGGAAGAAGAGATATATCTTCGTCTAACCCAAGCAACCCAGATGGATCCAGTTCGGAAAAATAACATCCACAACAGTTTCATGACAGAGGCATTATTCCAGCTTTCAATATCTTTAACGCCCAATCCTCCTTCTTCTTTCGGAAACGATACCAACTTCCAAGAAACCTTTGCCCCAGAAGATATTCCAGTTTTCCCATGGCACAGAAAGGAGCTCGATAAGCTATTAATTTTCTTGATCACCTTCTTGGGAAGAATAAAGGCACTAGTCCAGAAGCCGACAATGCCTGAGATAACTGAAGAGATCAAAGATAATCGGCCAGCAAGACTAAGAAGTTTGTTTGACCAAGAGTCAAACTTCTTTTGAATCAAAGTTAAAAGTGGATCACAATCAGCAAAGGAAAGCTTCTTTGAGAAAAGTGGCAAACCCAAATACCGAATTGGAAGAGACGAGGCTTCTAAGTTAAACAAAGCTTTAATTCTGTCAAGAGAGTCCGTGTCTACACCTTGGCAAAACATGGATGTCTTTTGGAGATTGATACCCAAACCTGATATCCTTTCAAAAGCAGAAAGAACAGAAAGAACTCCATGTAGAGAACGCTCAGAACCCTCTAAAAAGATAAGTAAGTCGTCCGCAAAGCACAAATGGGTTAGCTGAAGATCTTCACACCCTGGATGGAAATCAAAGGATCCTTCCACAGCCGCCTTATTGAGCATTAGGGATAAGACATTCATTATCAGGACAAAAAGGATGGGTGAGAGAGGGTCACCTTGTCTCAATCCTGTCTTCCCCTTAAAATAACCAGAGGTGACTCCATTAATACTCACTGAGAAAGATGGTGAGCAAACACAACACTTAACCCATTTGATAAAGGCTGGAGGAAATCTGTAAGCCTGAAGAACGCTCAAGAGAAAATCCCAACGAACTGAATCAAAGGCTTTTGAGATGTCAACCTTAAGAGTGATCCGCCTGTCACAACCCTCTCTATGATAGCCCTGCATGATGTCTGATGCCAAAAGGACATTTTCCAATAAAAGGCGATCCTTGACAAAAGCCGTCTGATTGGATAAGATGATGCTAGGAAGAATAATCTTGATTCTCTCCGTCAACAGCTTTGTAATAATCTTGTAAACCGTATTTAGACAAGCAATAGGTCTAAAATCTTTCAACTCCTCTACACCAGGTCTTTTGGGAATGAGAACCAGTGAAGTGGAATTCAAGGAGGTAGGCATGAAGTTGGATCGGAAGAAGTTAAGAACAGATGATGCTACTTCTGAACCCAGAATATCCCAAGTAGCCTTGAAAAATTCCGCAGGAAAGCCATCTGGTCCTGGCGTCTTGTTGAGAGACATCTTGAATAAGCATCGTTGGACCATCTCCACATTGAAAGGAAGGGAGAGAAAGCTTTGCTGAGTGGGAGAGCAAGATTTCATAATCAATGTGTCCAAATATCTTGGTAAATCCGGAGAGAAAACTCCACGTATAGTAGTGAGGAAGGTGGTGTAATAAGAAACAGCCGTTTCATGAACTTCTTGAAGACAAGTAGTCTTTGTACCGTCTGGCTTCAAGAGCTGCTTGATTGAGTTCTGGGCATTACGCGCTGTAGTTATCGAATGGAAAAACCTTGTATTAAGGTCACCCTCACCCAACCATTTGATACGTGAGCGTTGCCTGAAAAAACTCTCTTCAGCAGCATGCAGACTAACCCAAAGATCCTTCACTTGGGATTCCAACAAAAGATTTATCTCAGAGGGATCAAGTAGAGAGTTCAGTTGAAAAGAAGATAAAGCTGAAGAAGCTTCTGAAACTCTTCTTTCAATGTCACTGAAATTATCTCTAAGCAAAGTTTTCAAAGGCCTCTTCAACTGTTTTAGCTTGAAACAGAAATCTCAAAGATTATCAGCCATACTACCTGCATCATTCCAAGATTGTTGGATCGTTGCTAAAAACCGCTGATGCTTGGTCAATAGGTTGAAAAACCGGAAAGGCCTAAAACCAAACGAAGGTGGGGGAGTGGCTAGTCGTATAAGACAAGGACAGTGATCAGAGAATTCTGGAGGCTCAAAAGAGCAATGGCTAGTCGGATGATGTAAAATCCATGAACCGTTGACTAGACATCGATCCAGTTTCTTTGCAATTGGATCCTCAGGACGATGATTTGACCAAGTAAAACAAGGGCCTTGGAACGGTAGATCAAATAGTCCTGAAATAAACAACCATTCCCTGAAGTCACGCATTCCTCGAGTAGAGTGATGGATATTAAGATTGGATGTCTCAAAGGGGTAAGTAATTTCATTGAAATCACCATTCACCAACCAAACTTTCTGTGACAGTTGAAAAGACACAAAAGTATCTTTTAGGGAATTCCACAAAACTCTACGCTCCTCCTCCGAATTTGAAGCATACAGCGCCGTATAGATGAAAGGATCTTCATTCTCTAATGAAACCTCACAAGTGATGGACTGATGATCTTTGAAAAGAACACGAACTTCCACAGGATCCTTGAAGATAATCCAGATCCTTCCTAACTCCGAGTACTCATAATTAGAGATAAGAGACCACTGAGGTCCTAAGGCAGATAATATATGGCGTATATTTACTTCGCCAACGTGCGTCTCCAAAAGCGCACCAAAGGATACTGACTTACTATACATCCAGCTCCTGAGGGGACGATGCTTAGAAACTTCATTTAGACCACGCATGTTCCAAAAAAAAAATGTTAGACATGGAGATACTAGGTGGTGTGATGCATCACCCCAAGAGGAGGGGGATCATCACGCGATACAGACACAGAAGAAGATGAAACTTTCCTTTTCTTCTTCGAATCATTAGACGGCAAATCATGATCAGTAAAGTGAGCAGGACGACCCGAAAGAGTAATAGCCAAATGATCCTCCAGAAGTACATCAAAAGGATTAGAGGTTTGCGTTGGCTTTACTGAATGCGGCTTTGAGAGCTTTTGATGGAGAGGTTTCTGAACTGGCGAGAACGATTTATCCACAAGAACCAAATCCATCGAAGCTTCTTTAGTCACAGGGGGAGAGGGTTCAGGGCAAGGTTTTGTAGCAGGATGAACAACTAAAGCCAAGCTTGACGCTACAGCAGAAGACTGGTTAGCCGAAGCCAAACTCACTGGTTTCCAAACCGGCTTTTGGTCCTTGCGGGAAAAGGAATCTTTCTTTGTATCCGGAGAAAACGCAGAAGGAGAAGCAGAAGCAGTAGACTGTGGTTTGTCGTGAGATCGTGGCTTATTGACAGGCCCATAATTCTGAGGTTTATTCTCCGGACCATAAACTCGAGGGCAAAGACTCTCCTTATGTCTGATTTCCTCACAAAGAGAACACAAGGGTGGTAGCTATGGATAAGATACCTGGAGAATTAAGATCTTACCATCATCTCTTTCCAATTCAACTTCAGAGGGTAATGGTTTTGTAAGATCCACAACCACTTTAACATCGGCAGAGTTGATACTAGTAAATGGCTTATGATCTACCGCTCTGCCCAAGGAACGACAAACTATCCCTAATCCTTCAGGAGTGATAAGATCAAATGGAATACCGTGGATAGAAGCCCATACCGGGGCTTGATCAAGGGATGGCGGATTGAAGCTAAATTCAGATCGCCATTCAGTGACAAAAAAAGGAGAATCTCCCACTCTTCAGAGCTCGTGTTGCAAGATCTTCTTCCGAAGAGAAGGCGAGGGGATGTGAAACAGAAAAGCATTTTTAGTCAGGTTGTGAATCGCCACTCGTTTATCCTTTCCCCAAAGGTAATTGAGAACACCCCAGATTTTGCCATAAGAAGGAGGCTTCCCGTAGAAGATTCCAACGATGTAGTCACTATGAAGTTTAGCACCTCTCTCAAAGACTTCATTTGACACTTTAACTCGAGGTCTGCCTGAATCCGAGATTGAAACCAGTACTGAGGATTCAGGAATTCTATTTGCGGAGCTAAGATTCTTACCCCAATTAAAACCAGAGCCACAACCCAAAGGATTTGGATTTGCGGAAGTCGGTGGAATCACACCGCTTGAAGAAGGGGCAGAACCTGGAGAATCTTTCATCTCCACCTCAACTGAAAGAGAAGAATTTGGATCTGGGGGGATCGGTGGGTGAGGCAAAGCCTCCGACATCAGGAATTTGAAGATGCAATCAAACTAAGGTTCGAAAAGGGAAAATCGCCTATCTAGAGAGAGAAAAAGAATAATAATCGCCTATTATTTTTTTTTATTTTTATTTTTTTATTTTAAACTATGGACCTCAACTTTTTCTTTTTTTTTCTATGTGGGACGACAAGTCAACATCCAATTTTCTTTCCTACCAGGAGATATTGTGATTTCTTTATAACATGAGTTTAAAATATAGAGAAATACAATACAGAACATTAAAAATAGGAAAATATGAACTAGTGTACTAAAATCGAATCTAAAATTAGAAAGAAACGCAACCAAGTAGAGACGTGTCTGTGCTTTGCACTCATCCAATCCTTTATGGAATCTTCTTCTAATGTTGGCCAATATGTCTCACTTCACTATCATCAACGTATCTATTTTCATACTCTCTCCCTACTTTTTCAATAATGTGAAACATCTCATTATTCTTGATAGACTTCAACACATCATTTCTTATTTGGACCTTTTTCAATAAAATAAATAAATAAACATGAATTCAATCGAACTTATTCTGATTATATTTGTTGTTGTTGTTGTGGGTTGTTCTCATTATCTTGTATCAATGATTATAGAAATGGAATAAATAAATTGCTGGCTGTTACAAAACGTAACTCTTAATGCGAACTGAATTATAAATAGATAAAATTAGTTAAAGAATAGTTTGATTTATGGCATCGAAGTCTAGTCGAATATTTCTCTCTATCCTTCTTCATATATGTTTCCAATTTTCAACGTAGTTTTATTTTTTTATCGACTATCTAAACGTTAATTCAGTATATATATATATATATATATATATATATATATATATATATATGTATATAAGAAGTTACAAAAATTTATTTAAGTCACAATATTCTTGGAACAAAAACAACGCCAAAAATATAAGTCTTGTTGTTCAACATAAAAACCGTATATTAAAAAAAGAAATGAAAACCTTATATATGGTTAGCCAAATCAGAATACCAGCATTACATGCATGATTTGTGTATAACTTATAAAAAAACAATAAATAACGATCCATCTAAGATTCTAAATTTATGTTAATTTTGTGAGTGTGTTGATGTTACATAATTTGTTTTCTTTCTAATATTTTTATCGTTACAAGAATTTAATTTTAAATTAGAAAGTTGTTTTAGAATAGATTACCTATTTTTTGGCTTTGAGAATGTAATATTGCATAGGGTACTTGGGTATCTTCCAAATGAGATATCCAACAGGACATGAGAGAGTGAATGATGTGGCATCTCAGTTGAAAACATGACATGGGAGAGCATGAGGTTACCCACGTGGGTAAGCATACAAAAGTTCACACATAAGCATTTTTTTCTTGCTGTCGTCACAAATTGTATCACCCTTTCTTGGCTTTATTTACTTTTCTATTATTATTATTATTTTTTTTCTGATTCTTATTACTCAACGACTTAAAAAGAGTCGTTTGCAAGATTATTTCTATTTTCTAAAAAAAAATAAAAAGTGTTAAACAATATTATATGATATATCATATATTTGTTTTTTTTTTTGAGAAAAACCGTAAAAAAAGTATTGTAATAAAATTATTAACCTTTTAAAGAGAGTGATCTAAAAATGACAAGAACAATAATAATACAAGAGGGAGAAGAATAACTATATGAAAGAGAAAGTGATATGATATTCTTTTAAATGAATGAGAATTTGAAATATAGGCTCCGAATGGTGACAGCGGATTGTGTTGTGCTGTTTAAAAAAATTGAGAGTGCGGTGCGTTTTTACTTTTACAAGTGCGGATAAAATCTGACTGCGGAACAAATGCAGTCCATACAGAATAAGAAGTATAAAGTAATGTCTGATTGGTGAAAAAATAACTAGCGGTAGAAAGTATTTGTTTTGAATGGTAAAATATCAAAAAGTGGTTCATAGTAGATATAATATGTATATATAAATATCTATAAAAAATAGAATCAAAAATATGAAATAATTGTAATTTTGAAAATTAAACTATAAATGTTACTTAATTAATTATTTACAGTAATAAATATTTAATAATTAAAGTAATTTTTTAAAATATTGGTACAATTATTGCCAACCCAAGAAAATGATTAACTGTAAAAAAAAAAATACAATACAATAAACAGTATTATCGAGTATTTTGATTTTGTCATAACAAGTTTGCAATATTATCTCTTATTTGCGCCATATGTTGTCCATCTCCTATCTCAGCTGCTTTCAAGTCACCTAAATCAGATTCCAAATCTCTGTTTTTTACACCCGTCTCCGCCATGACATATGCAAAATCTTCATCTAAGAAGTTCGAAATTTTGAAAAAAATATGCAATCCCATTGTAGTCATTACCACGCTCTTTTGTATGTGCATATTATATCTTGGAAAATCAGAAAGAATCATCCATTTTTTTTTCCAAACTCCAAAAGTTCTCTCGATAACAGAACGCATAGATGCATGAAATCTGTTGAACAATTCTTGTTTATTCCTAGGAACAGGACCAGAGTTGAACTGGGACATATGATATCTCACAACTCCATTACGTGATGATCTATAATGAGCTAAAATCCTTGTTTATTTGGATAGCCAGAATCAACAAGATAATATTTCTCTGGTGGAGGCAAGGGGAACTCTGAATCGTGCTCTTGTGCCATTGTCACAACAACTGTATCATGGCATGATCCCGGTGCTCCATTCCAAATATATGTGAATAACATATTGAAATCACATATTGCCATGATGTTGAAAGATGCATTATCATGTCGATTCCAATACATTCCTTGCAATTCAAGCTTCACTTTCACGCATATATGTGTTCCATCCATTGCTCTCACAAATCCACTGAAGTACGGATAATATGTTCGATCAACTAGAAGTCTTTCAGGAATTCGGTATAGTTCTTGTCTTGTTGGAGTTCTAATATAATCACAGCCATAATTCGGCTCCTTAAGAACTTCTTTAAATTTTCTCTGCACAGCTGATTTCGGCCAAATCTCATACCAACATCTCTTTGAACTTCATTGTGCCCACATATCCGTAGAAATATAGCGACACTTTCTTCAATGCTTATATTTAATGTTGGTTGGAGGCCATAATTTGTCTGAAGCATTTCACACAAAGCTGTAAAACATGGTAGTGACATTCGTAATAACTGAAGACAAGGAGTTTCATCTTGTTGTAGTCGACGCCAAATATTTCTCCACCCCAAACCTCTGTCAGTTTGAACCGGCGCTCTTTCAAAATACCGATGATAGTACGTAAGTGTTGGGTGGATAACTAACTCTTCAAATTGCTCATTTTCCAAATTCCACAATTCAATTCTCTCTTCATAGCTAAGGTTGTGGATGCCTTGCGATCTCAATTGACATATACGAAAAGCCTGAAATGTTAAACATAAGATAAATTGATGTCATTAGGCAAATCATAACAAATATTAAATAATAATTTAAATTAAAAAACATTCAATATATGAATTAATTTATTACATAAACGAGAATGATGAAATATGATTTATTTTTATAACATAAATGAGAACTAATGAAAAAAGATCTATCATAAACTAATCTTCGTCTTCCGAATAACTTTGATGAGGTTCATTTATATTTGTGTTTGTTCCTCCTGGAGTTCCCCATATATTGAAAAGACCACTAGGTCTAGGTGTTTGTGAAGTATGTCCAGATTCAAAATAGTTGGTGAAATCAAGACCGCGTGGTGATGTTTGTTGAACGTTTGGTGAAGCTCTTCCCGTTGCACCATCATAATTATCTTGTTGAGTATTCCTTAGACTTCCTCCTTCACCCCCAAGTAAAAATCCATATTGAACAGTTGGATTGAAAGTTGTTGATGGTAAAGCAGATGGCTGAAAATTTGGAGGAAGCCCCCATTCATTGTTGAGCGTTTGGTGGTGTGCCCCACTGTTGAGCATTTGGTGGTGTTCCCCACTGTGGAGCATTTGGTGGTGTGCCCCATTGTGGAGCATTCGGTGGTGTGCCCCATTGTGGAGCTGGTTGGGGTGATCCCCATTGTTGAGCATTTGGTGGTGTGCCCCATTGTTGAAAACTGGGAGCCCATAATCCTCCTGAACTTTGTCCTCCTAAACTGTTACAAACAAAGATGGACTTCCAGATGATATCCCTCCTGAATGTGGACTCCCATACGAGCAATATCTTGGTTGTTTCGTGAAACACCAGTCATTGCTTCCAACATTTGTAGCTTATCCTCGTCTATACTTCCAGCTAAATCGATGAAATATTTACGCCAAAAGACTAACTCTTTAAGTGAATTGAGACATGCCAGTAAAATCTACCTTTTGGAACCTTAGAGCAAGGAATATCGTTTCTGCTTTTTCCATTCATCGTAATCATCTTGGTCAAAAGCACCTGACGAAGTTGTTGCAAACTTTGGCGTTGGAACTCTGTATATCCAGCAATGGTGTCTTTTATAGTTGTTTCAAAGGATTGTCTTCTACGACCTCCTCGTGAACCAGTTGTACTAGAAAGTTGTGAACCTCCAACTCCTCTTGAATTACTTTGACGTCTAGCGTTTGCCTGCAAATTAGACCATTTCTCGTTGTTGGCCTCTGTGAATGGTATTTGGGACCGTTTCATTCAAATGAGGTATATCCTCATCAACTATAACACGATACACTTCTTCATCTTCTTGCGTCTCCTGAACTTGAGTTTCTGGAATATCACCACTATCAGTGTTAGAGCCATCATCATTGTCATCATCTACTTCATGGTCATTGATATCTCTTCTCTCTTTGACTTGAAGAATGTTGGGATTGTGAGCGTACATCATGTAATATGAGACATCGTACCATCACATCCCAAAACTCGGCGGTTTTCGGTTGAATCCTTTGTTCTGTTACATCCCTATAAATTTAGAGTCGTTATTTTAACATCTAAATTTTTGTACGCATCTTGATAACTAGAAATATTATGAATACTTACGAATTCACGCTCTTTCCACCATGCGTCTGATGCATATATCATAGATGTGTCTTGATCAACAGATATACCAGTTGAATTCATAAGAGTCTTCCATCTCTTGTAGTTTTTTTTGAAATTATCTAGCTTGTTTTTGAAGTAGTCGTAAGTTATATTCATATTGAAGGCCTTGTTGAATTTTTCCACCATATACTCGTTACCAATGGCACTTGGATTCTTAAGAGTATAATTATTCATGGCAACTGCTTCGTTGAATAATTCAATTAGTGTCTTTTTTGTATGTACGACCATTTGGGTTGCTTTTACTACAATTGTAATATGTTGGTATTAATTAATTATATTAAACTAATGTAAAAACTATTTCATTTAAAGGAAAAAAAGGTTACCCTAGATGCCGTTTCTGTTGGAAGATTTGTTGGAGGAACTAAATTTTCTGTGGGTCGCGTTGAACTTGTTGGTCTTGAAGAATTTATGTTCCGTCGACGATTGGATGACATATCTACATTTACAAAGACAACAATTAGTTTTATTATCTTTCAAAAGTCAAAGATAGTATATCTATATTTAGAAAAACAACATTTCGTTTTATGTATTTTTTCAAAACTTAATCTTCCAACTTATGAAATCATTTAGTTTAATCCCTCTTCATATTAATGTTTTTTTTTAATATTTACTTAACTAATAATATATTTTACAATTATCATAAATGATTTATAGATATCATAATATTATTTTATGAAAAAGTGATATACATGTATATTACATGTTTGCACAGAAATTTAAAAGTAAATATATAACCTATAATATTTATATAAATAAAATATTAATAATTTTATAAAGAAATTATTACTAAATAATATCAAAACCCAATCTTTGAACTTATGAAATTATTTAATTTAATCTCTCATAATATTAATGTTTTTTTTTAAAATATTTACTTAACATATACTATATTTTACAATTATCAGAAATGATTTATATATATCAGAATATTATTTTATGAAAAAGTGATATACATGTATGTTACATGTTTACACAGAAATATAAAAGTAAATATATAACCTATAATATTTGTATAAATAAATTATTACGAAATAATATCAAAACCCAATTTTTGAACTTATGAAATCATTTAATTTAATCTCTCATAATATTAATGTTAAAAAAAAAATTACTTAACGTAGACTATATTTTACAATTATCAGAAATGAGTTATATATGTCATAATCATGGTTATGGGATAATCATGTGTGGTTGGGAAAGATATATTCATAAAAGGATAGTTTCGGATTCGGTTGTATAACACTCCGACCGCCCCTCTCGGTGAGTCACCCACGCCCTCTCTCTGGACCCGCAGGCCCATCTCGGCCCGTGGGCCTCACCCCTGTCCGACGGCCGGTCGTTATTTTTGAGAGGCTCTAATGACTTATTTACTATCCCTGCAATCAACACCTGACCTTTTCCCGTGTTTTGGCCTCACTCACACGGTTTCGCAGAAACTTCCCGAAAGGTCACCCATCCTTCAACTACTCCAGCCCAAGCACGCTTAACTCTGGAGTTACTTATAGACCTTTGACCGAAAAGGTAAGTGCACTTTGTTGACATAGGTAGCCAAATCAATTCTCTTAAGCCTCTCCTCATTTATCACAAACCGGGATGTTACAACTCACCCCCACTCACTTGCGCAACGTCCTCGTTGCGCACCTGGATCGTCACCCCCTGACGGTGTGAGTCAAGGCCACTTCAACTTGACTCCACACTCTCGTCTGGGTTTGGCTCTGATACCAAATTATAACGCCCCGACCGCCCCTCCCGGTGAGTCACCCACGCCCTCTCTCTGGCCCGCAGGCCCATCTCGACCCGTGGGCCTCACCCCTGTCCGACGGCCGGTCCGTTATTTTTGGAGGCTCTAGACGTATTTACTATCCCTGCAATCAACCCGACCTTTCCCGTGTTTTTTCCTAACTCACACGGTTTCGCAGAGGACTTCCCGAAAGGTCACCCATCCTTCACTACTCCAGCCCAAGCACGCTTAATCTGGAGTTCTTTATGGGCCCTTGACCGAAAAGGTAAGTGCACTTTGTTGACATAGGTAGCCAAATCAATTCTCTTAAGCCTCTCCTCATTATCACAAACCGGGATGTTACAGGTTGAGACGATAGATTCGGATTTACATTTATTGGATCATTGATATTAATCTAATTAATGTAATCAGAAAATTAATACTTCTTTTTATCTTGGTTATGTGATAAACATGTGTGTTGGGAAAGATAGTTCCGGATTCGGTTGATACGATATATTCATATTTACATTTATCGGATCATTGTTATTAATTTAATTGGAGGGATTAATCGCTGGAACCCTAGGTCACTTTCCTATATATATACTTCGGGTAGCTCCCATTACGTCTACAGTTTTTTTTTTTTCTTGCTTTAGTTTTCGCTGATATATGTTTTAGCTATGATCTCATGTTATTTTAGGTTTCGTTTAGCCGATTATGTTTTCTGTTTGCATGCGACTGAGGTTCTAACTACGTCTGTTTTGTCTTCGTGCAGCTAGGGTTATGGTCAATTCGGATTTTCACAGCGTCTTCTATGCAGAAGGTTGATGCATATACAAGTAAGATCCCGTCCGTGTATGAGAGACAACCCTGATCGCTCTTAAAAAATATCGTTTGGGTATTCTCTCATATTGGATACCTTTTATTTTGGTATATGTTTGGCCGATTGGTTTTTCTGCTCTACTTTTGTATTATGCTTAGTTTCATAACCCTAATCATTGGATTGTGTTTACTTCTACGTAGAAGGTCGACGCATATACGGGTAAGTAATTGTTTTCTTAAATATATATTACCTCCCATATCATCTACGAATTGATTTGATGTTCTTGCTTTAGTTATCATCTGTGTTCATTGTGATCTCATGTTGTTTTAGCGTTTGTGCAGTCGCTGGTGTTTTCGCTTGCACACAGTTCTGAATTCGTTTGTTCCTTATTTGCCTATCTAGGGTTATCTGCGATATGGTGTCTTGCGACGTACTGTACTGTAATTTTCTGCTTGTGTTTCTTATATTTATTTACACATTATTCTGCTCTGATTTCTTGTTTTCTCATATTTGCTATTTTGTATTTTCTTATATGTTTAGTCGACAGACTTTTATTTCTAATCACAAGTTTCTTATATTGAATCATGTTTGGTATTTTTAATTTTTTTTTATAGGTTAAGCCGATAGTTTTTTCTGATCTACTTTTGTATTATGCTTGGCTTCATAACCCTAATCACTGTATTTTTTTTATTTATTCTATGTTTGGCCGATTGGTTTTCCTGCTTTACTTATGTATTATCCTTTGTTTCATAAGCCTAATCATTGGATTTTGTTTTCTTTTACGCAGAAGGTCGATGCAAAGGCAAGTAAGAGAATGATTTCCAGGGGCGGCTGAAAGTGCATGGGGGTACCGATACAGACTGTGAATGATACAGAAAGTAGTACGAGCATAAATAGTAGTAAAGACACATAGAGTTTGTTAACGGGGTTCGTTTCCTACATCCCCGGGACCTCGTCCAGAATCCACTAGAACAAGATTGCAATTACATTGCTATGGTATCCAGCACTACAATGCCTACCATTCTCTCCTAGATGGATACATTCAAACAATGCCCTTAACCCTTTGTTTGGTCTTCCTACTAGAACCCCAAAACCTTATGCTAAGGCATCTTCGAATGTAATGGGTTGAGCACATCCAATGCTCTCCACGTCCTATTTATCCACAATAGGTACGCTTTGAAACCCTTCAAGATTTCTCCCTTGGTGATCACTCCAAATCTCCAAGAGAATATTTATTTCCTTATTTTTCTCTAGGAAAAGGAAATATTCCTAGTTGCTTGATAGCTTCGAATCTCTTCGTCCAACTTAGCTCTTGACTCTTCTAGAATCTTCTAGACTCGCCTCCTCAGCTACAAGCATATGTCCAGCCCATCAGATCGATTCCTTAAGCCCATCTGCTGAACACGACTCTCTGTACTACTTCTTGACTGATACATGAAGTCCTTCATTCAACTGTATCTTCACCTGTTATGACATGTTCTAAAACTCGGTCAGCACTGCATCAACAATCTCTCCCTTGATGATTGAGTTTTAGAATCATGGCATAACCCTTCACGAGTATGATGATCTTCTAACTCTCCCTTAATTGTACACCATCTCATGGCATAACCAATCCAGAGCATGATGATCTTCTAGCTCTCCCTTAATTGAACACCATCGATTTTCTTGATTCCTCCAACACTCTCTCCCTCTTTGACCATGGTTGTGAACTCAGCAATTATAGCTCCATAATAATTCTCCCCCTGCTTGAGTTCATAACTGATCAAAGTTAATTGCTGAAGCATCTCCGCTCTTGAGGTTGATGGTCCTTCTTGAAGCGCCATGATGTACTGGGAATTCGCTCTTGGTAACCCTCCATCTTCTCCGCAGGAATCTCCCTTGTTTGCAGCTTTGCAATATGCACAAGAGCCCGCTCTGATACCAATTGAAAGTGCATGGGGGTACCGATACAGACTGTGAATGATACAGAAAGTAGTACGAGCATAAATAGTAGTAAAGACACATAGAGTTTGTTAACGGGGTTCGTTTCCTACATCCCCGGGACCTCGTCCAGAATCCACTAGAACAAGATTGCAATTACAGTTGCTATGGTATCCAGCACTACAATGCCTACCATTCTCTCCTAGATGGATACATTCAAACAATGCCCTTAACCCTTTGTTTGGTCTTCCTACTAGAACCCCAAAACCTTATGCTAAGGCATCTTCGAATGTAATGGGTTGAGCACATCCAATGCTCTCCACGTCCTATTTATCCACAATAGGTACGCTTTGAAACCCTTCAAGATTTCTCCCTTGGTGATCACTCCAAATCTCCAAGAGAATATTTATTTCCTTATTTTTCTCTAGGAAAAGGAAATATTCCTAGTTGCTTGATAGCTTCGAATCTCTTCGTCCAACTTAGCTCTTGACTCTTCTAGAATCTTCTAGACTCGCCTCCTCAGCTACAAGCATATGTCCAGCCCATCAGATCGATTCCTTAAGCCCATCTGCTGAACACGACTCTCTGTACTACTTCTTGACTGATACATGAAGTCCTTCATTCAACTGTATCTTCACCTGTTATGACATGTTCTAAAACATGGCCCTACTTGAAGAAATCGACGAAGCTGACAACACTGGACCATGGTACTTCGATAGTGGATGCTCCAGACACATGACAGGAGTCAAAGAAAATCTTCAAGAAGTGAAGAAGCTGAAAGGAGGGAAGGTCACTTTTGGATGTGGAACCAAAGGAATGATTCAAGGCAAGGGACGCACCTCTGATGAGCAACCACAGCTTATGAACGTCTATCTCGTCAAGGTCTGAAGTCAAACCTGATCAGTGTCAGCCAGCTTTGTGATGAAGGTTTAACGGTCTGGTTTAACAAGATAGAGTGCAAAGCCATTGACTCTGACGGAAAGACGTCTACGAGGAGTTCGTTCAGGCAACAACTGCTACATGTGGGATCAATCTGCAAGTGCCTAAGTGTCCGAGATGATGTTGAACTATGGCACAAACGATTGGGTCACATGAATGTTCGACATCTCACCGACTTGGTGAATAAGGAGATTGTTCGTGGTGTTCCGAACTGAAGGGAACTGAGAAACTTGTATGTGGTCCTTGCAATCAAGGAAAGCAAATCAAGGTCCAGCACAAGAAGGTGGCAGATGTACAATCCAAGACTGTTTTGGACTTAGTACACATGGATTTGATGGGACCAATGCAAGTGGAGAGCATTGGAGGAAAGCGCTATGTCTTTGTTCTAGTGGATGATTACTCGCGATACACTTGGGTCGCTTCATTCGTGACAAATCTGACACCATGGCGAGTTTCAAGATTTGGGCTCTTCAAGTTATCACTGAGAAAGGAAGCCTCAAGCGCATACGCAGTGATCATGGGGGAGAATTTCAGAATGAGGTCATGACTAAGTTCTGCAATGAACAAGGCATAGCTCACCAATTTTCGGCACCTAGAACACCACAGATGAATGGAGTAGTGGAGCGAAAGAACAGAACACTTCAAGAGATGGCGAGCAATGATCCATGGAGGAAACATTCCTGTGAAGTTTTGGGCTGAAGCAATCAACACCGCATGCTACATCATCAACCGTGTCTACATGAGAAAGGCTTTACTCAAAACTCCTTATGAGTTGTGGAAAGGAAAGACACCTAACTTAAGTTACTTTCGTGTCTTTGGATGCAGGTGTTTCATTCTGAATGACAAGGATCAACTTGGAAAGTTCGACTCAAGGAGTGATGAAGGCATATTTCTGGGTTATTCAGGCAATAGTTCAGCTACAGAGTCTTCAATCTTCGGTCCAAGATGATTATGGAGTCGGTCAATGTTGTTTTGATGATCGATCAATTGCGGCCATGGGAGACTCTCCAATATTTCATGAACCAGAAGTCAGCGAAGCAGAAACAGAAGCAGAGGAGGTTCGTGAAGAAGAAGAAAAGGTTCATGAGGAAGTCTCTGACACAGCTCCTGATGTAGGTCTCCCACTGACACAAGTTCACAGAAACCATTCCTCGAACGATCTGATTGGAGACATCACTGAGCCACGAAGGACGAGAGGAATCAAGATGAACTATAAGCAGATGGTCAGCATGGCAATTATCAATTTGAGTGCTTTGTCTCTGCCATAGAGCCACGAAATCATCGTGAAGCACTGGAAGATGCAGATTGGATCATCTCCATGGAAGAGGAACTAGAGGAGTTCGTGAGAAACGATGTATGGGAGTTAGTGCCACTACCTGATGGTGTGAATGTGGTCGGTACAAAGTGGATCTTCAAGAACAAGACAGATGATGCTGGAAGCATTGTACGAAACAAGTCAAGACTTGTTGCGCAAGGTTACTCACAAGTTGAAGGAGTCGACTTTGATGAAACCTTTGCCCCTGTAGCACGTCTTGAGTCTATCAGACTGTTTCTAGGGATGGCATGCATATTGAACTTCAAGGTGTATCAGATGGATGTGAAGAGTGCTTTCTTGAATGGCATTCTACAAGAGGAAGTATATGTAGCCAACCGAAGGGTTTGAAGATCCTACACATCCTGATATGTGTATAAGCTCAAGAAAGCTCTCTACGGACTGAAACAGGCTCCAAGAGCTTGGTATGAGCACCTGACGAAGTTTCTGATTGACACAGGCTACGTCAGAGGAACTGTGGACAAAACCTTGTTCACACTTGAGAAGAAGAATGAGATGATGATGGTGCAGATCTATGTAGATGATATCATCTTTGGAGGAACTTCAGAGAAGCTGGTGGAAAACTTTGTGAAGAGTATGACTAAGGAGTTCAAGATGAGCATGGTGGGAGAATTGAAGTACTTTCTTGGACTTCAAGTGAATCAGACTGAGAAAGGAATTTTTATTTCTCAAAGCACCTATGCCAAGAATCTACTGGTGAAGTTTGGTCTTGACAAATGCAAGGAGGCAAGAACACCAATGAGCACCACGACAAAGATTGGAAAGGATGAACAAGGAGAAGACGTTGATGTGAAGCTTACAGAGGAATGATTGGAAGCTTGCTTTACCTTACAGCAAGTCGGCCTGACTTAAGCTTCAGCGTTGGAGTTGTGTGCCCGCTATCAGGCCAAACCAAAACAGTCCCATCTTCAAGCGGTGAAGAAGATCTTGAGGTATGTCAAGGGAACTGTCAATCTGGGGATCTTTTACTCCAAAGGATCCAACAGAAATCTTGCTGGATATTGTGACGCCGATTGGGCAGGATGTGCGCAGATGATCGGAAAAGCACAAGTGGAGGTTGTTTCTTCCTTGGGAACAATCTTATTGCTTGGCTTAGCAAGAAGCAGAATTCTGTGTCACTATCTACTGCAGAGGCTGAGTACATTGCATTGGGAAGCTGCTGCACACAGCTTATATGGATGAGACAGATGTCAGCCGATTATGGGATGGAGTCTGGACCCTTCTTGGTCTACTGTGACAACAAAAGCGCCATTGACATATCAAAGAATCCGGTGCAGCACTCAAGGACTAAGCACATTGACATAAGACACCACTTTGTTCGTGAATTGGTGGAAGAAAAACAGGTAGTACTTGAACATGTTGTCACAGATTTACAGCTCGCTGATTTATTCACAAAACCATTGGACTTTAACCGTTTTGTCACCTTAAGAAATTCCATTGGAATTTGCACAAGTGGTTTTGAATGATGCAGGGGCTGATACAGGCACTGGCTCGGGGTGTATAACAAGTTCAGATTTTGTTTGGAGTCAAAGGTGCCAATGAGGATCAGCTACTTTGTCATGCCGTCATGTCACCTCAACATAAGAAAAGTGAAAAGTAAGTGATTCTAAAAGCATGTTCAAGGTCAAAAAGCAGCTGAGCCAACTCCAAATGAATGCAATATGATGGAGATGGCTTGCTGCTTCAAGAACCAAAAAGTGATTCAATGAGCATAACAGGAAATGTGATGAACTGACAACAATAGCTCACAAGGCTAAGTTGGTTCATGTGATTTCTCGAAAGACAATGTTTCACAAGAACAAAGTCTGACGATAGAAATAAGAGCTTAATTGGAAAGGGGATGGACTTGACAACAATAGCTCACAAGGCTGAGTTGGTCCATGAGCTTTCTCGAAGGGTAATGTTTCACAAGAACAACATCCAACGACAGAGAATGATCACATGTTCTGCCTTGAACAAAATAAAGAGTTTCACTTTGCACATCATTGGAATTAGAGGTGGTGATATGATCTGGGTATGACAAAGTGAAAGCTGCAGGTTGGAATCAGGATGGCCAAGCGCTATGAATCTGTTGAGAATTTGTAATACATCCTGATGCAAGTGCCGACTCAGTCAATGTCTCCTTCGCTAAAATGAAAGGTATTTAATTTGAGATAAACTGAGTAAAAATGTTTTTAAGCTGAAAAGATGTGACACATGGGATGGTATTGCTTGTTTGGATTCTACTTGAATCGAATTTTATGTGGATGTCACAATTTTATCCTAAGTGCTGTACTGCTGATATTGGTGCTGAATGTTACAGGAAGTCAAGCAGGAGCTCTGGATTTCTAAACCAATTAATCCGGCTGATTTATGTTTTTAATTCCTAATCCGGTTTGGTTTAAGTGGTTTCTCGATGCAGTGAGGTATAAAAGGGAAAAAGAAGAAAAAGGAAAGTAAATCGATCTTCGATCGAAAACCCTAGATTTCTCCCAAATCGATTGAAGGAGTCAATCTTGATTCAATGGTGACCGCGACTAGACGAGGCTTAATCCGTCCAAGTCAAACCGATCCGAGACACATATCGACGGATCCGCCTCTACGCCGGTCCAAATCGACGAACCCGAAGCTCAAACGACGATTCAAGATCCTCCACCGCCGATTTCACGATGATCGACGAAGCCGTCGACGAAGTAGCTGATCCAATGACGGCATGGTTCTCTTTGAAGGAGAGTCAGACCGAGGCCGAGTCTTTGCTACGGCGGAAGATGAACCGATGGCGGATGAAGAAGCCACGGCGGAGAAACCCGAGGAGCCGGAGATTCCTCGAGATGCACAAACGACGGAGCCGATTCCAAACTCCGCCGAAACCCTAGCTCCACCGCCGAACTGACGGAGTGACTGAAGCAGCGGTCACTACACCTCCGGTGGTGACCGCCGAGACGAGCTCAACGCCGCCGCAACACAGATCACGGAGCCCGACGCTTCGATTCCACCGAGAGATCCAACTCCGGTCGTTCTCTCTCACACGACGAGGTCCTCGATGAACTCATTCCCGGCCAGCCGTTTCGATCTGAGCAGAAGGAGCCGACGCCTGAACCGCTTCTCCTACAGCCGGAGATCCCGAAATCGGCTTTCGCTCAACTCGCTATGCCGTTCTCCGATGAAGAAGAAAGCGATGATAATGCGTCGCTCATTCCACGGAAGAGGAAATTCTCGATCACCGGACTTCCGCCGTCGAAGAAGATGAAGGAGAAGCTCATGCATCGCTCCATCTCCAAAGCCGAAGCGCCAAAACACGATCTACTCCGGTGAAGAAAGCTCCGGCTCGAGCTAGTTCACGAGCTAAAGGGCAAGGGAAAGCAAACCGAGGCTTCCAAACCAAGAAGCCATCTCTCTGGACAGGTTTGATCTTTAGCTCTCGTGGAATCATTGATGAAGCGAATTGTGATCTTAAGCTGAAGCTAAGTGGGGATATCCTGATATTATCATCAAAGGAGGTTTAGTCCACGGTTGAGGGTTTAGGAAGCTATGTTAGGTCTCAGATTGTTGAGTTCTATGCGTTGCCAACCAGGAGATGATAGTGTTCGAGTGATGATTCGAGATCAGGAGTATGAGTTCTCTCCCCACGATCAACGAGTTTCTCAACTTGCAGCCTCTAGTGAAGAAGAGAGAAGCTTGAAGCAGATGCAGACTCTGTCAGTCTGAAGACATTGGCTCACTGTTCACTGCGAATGAGAAGGCTGAGTGGTCTGAGATCTACTCGATTGGGATGACTCCGTGTTATGCATCCTTGGTCATTGTTGCGTCTCACAACTGGATGCCTTCGACTCATAGCAACCATGTGTCTGAGCCACGAGCTAAGCTTATCTACAAGCTATCCACAGGAGTCGAGTTGATTTTGGTCAGTTGGTGTATGATCAAGTGATGGGGATGAGCAAATTCCAACACAAAGACTCTCGTTGGTTGATTTCCAAGGATCATCTATGGATCATTCAGATGCAAGCGCCTCTCCCTCTCCTTGATGATGATGTCCTCATTCGTCCTCTTCACTATCAAAAGGACAAGCGCTCTGGGAAGGAGTACATCAAAGCGAGAAGATGAGAAGAAGAAGAAGATGAAGCAAGACGTCTTCTCGACTCGATCTACAGTAGCGCTCTCAGCAGCACTACATCAGAGCTACATCAGACCTTCACTGTGGATCTTGGCTCTGTCCGCTTCCCAACTCCACCGATTCAGCCCCAGCAGCGATTCAGGCTCGGCGACATCGTCTACACTCTCCAGACCTTCACGGAGACGGTTCAGGGCCTTCTCGCCAACCTCCAAGGTAAGTTGAAACTCTGCACAATCTTGTTCCATATGATTTACATCTTGTGTTTTTAACTTGTGTGGTCTCACAAGCAGGGGGAGAACAGGATGAACCAGGGGACGAAAACTAGGACTTATGCTAGAATTGTGGGGGAGCAAAGCTTTTGTTTGTTTTTGCTCTGTTTTAAGTAGTTTTCGGTTCTAGAATTCTGGGGGAGTTGAGAGTTTTTGCTTTGGATCTAACTCTTTTGTTTTTGGATGTTTAAACTCATAACTCTCATGTTCTGAATGATTTGAATATTTTGAATGTCTAATGATGAAGTATTCAGAACATCCTGTTTTCTGGTTATCTCTGGTATGTGCATTGTGGATTTGAGTTTTACAGGTGCTTGTAAGACACAAAGCTAAAAAGGGGGAGATTGAAGATGCAACTGGTTTGACGCAGATCGTGAATCAGTCAGGAAGTGCATCAGGACGTATGGACGGACATGTAGCGGAGCTAAGCGGAGCTTAACGGAGCTAAAGGATTGATGCTGAGCTGGATGCGAGCTTGTAGCGGTTAAGGACGAATCCAGAAGAGGCGGTAGCTGAGCTGGATGAGGAGATTTGGAATTATCAAGACAAAAGGGATATTTCCTATTCTTAGAGAAAAATAAGGAAAGGAAATATTCCTTGGAGATTTGGAGTAATCACCAAGACACAACCTTGTAGGGTTTGGCGGTTCGTCTATTGAGGATAAATAGAGGACCTTGGCTGCTTGGAAGCGGCTATCACAAATATTGAGAGCTTTAGACTTTGGGTTTAGATCATCTTGTAAGAGAGCTAGGACAAAGGGTTAGGGCTTGAGAGGTTCGAAGATCGTGGATAGATCTGAGAACAGAGTGTTACTAGAGCAATCAAATCGTGGATAGATTGTGGTTGTCAATTCGTTTAAGCAATACTTGTAAGTTACACTTAAAGAATTTCTAGTAATATATTTCTTTGTAGAGAAATCCCTTGTGCCAATTTGTGATCTTCTTCCATATCAATAAGCCCTTGGTTTTTCAGCGGCTTAGGACTTAAGAGGGGGTGCAAGAGGTGTGATGCACTGGGGTTGATTGGAAAAGAAAAAAAAAAATAGTATAGAAAAAGGGGCACAAAAAACAATTTAGTGTAGCATGATTGAAAGGAAAGCGCACGAGGCGTATCATATATAAAAAGCGATTGATTTCCTTTATATATAATTCAGTGAGCTCTCATATCTCTACAATTCGATTTGTTAATTATTTTTTAGTTATCATCTGTATTAACTATGATCTCATGTTATTTTGGTGTTTGTGCAGTCGTTGATGTTTGACGTTTTCTCGCAGTTCTGAATTTTTTTTTTATTATTATTTTTTTGTAGCTATGATTATATGCGTTATAGCGTCTTCAGGTGTGTTGTTTTGTAAGTTGTTTGTTTTGAATTTATGTTTGAGTATTCTCTCATATTGGATATTTTGTATTCTTTATAGTTTTAGTCCATAGTTTTTTTACACTACTTTTGTATTATGTTTGGCTTCGTAATTCTCAACACTGTATAATATATATATTTTTAATACAGAAGGTCCATACATATGCAAGCAAGTAATATATTTATATATATATATATATATATATATATATATATATATATATATATGCTTCAGGTGGCATCCATATCGTCTACAGTTAGATTTGATGATTCTTGCTATATTTTTGTGTTCTCATATTTTGTGTATATATTGGTTGTTTATCTATCTACATGGAGACTCACCAGTGTTATTTCATCGTAACACAGTTTAATGCGATCGTTTATTGGGTAAGCAACACATTTTTATCACCAATATTATCATTTTTTTATATTTATGCAGCACATTATATATCTGGACGGCATATTAGTTTGTTCTGTATTTGGTATGATTGGCTAAACTCTGAAATTCGTTAGTCTATTACATGATCATCAACCGAGACGTAAGTTTTGTCTTCATGCAAGTGCGCTATTTCCTTTGATAGTATATCCATAAATTATATATTTTAATCGTGGTTTATCTTTAACATTGTTTTGCGTTATTAATTGTGTTTGTGATTGGTATAGGTCTATTTTGTGTTTCTCATATATGATAAGTGTTATTTGATTCAGTTCGCCCGTCAATTCCGTTTCTAAAAAAGTGAGTTTACCTCCGCCGTAAAATTATATTCGTTTCATATTAGTTATTATATCTAAATCATATATTATATTATGTGTAACCGTTCGACGTCGCATTTTAGTTTTTCTTATTATTTTTTACACATGTTTTCATATTTTTTGCAAATTTGTTTGTTATAATAGTCTTACATAGCTGTGTAACGCACTCACGTGGATCGATGTTTCTGGATACGTGTCTAAAAGAATACATGTTTTGCTTTGGTTTTCTGTTCCGATACTAATCGCCGTCGATGGAGCTATATCTGTTTGAAGATATGGCAGTTACGATTCACTTTGGATTGAGTCTTTATCGATTCTGTTGTATAAAGTGGTCTTTCCAATTTCGTTTCTTCTGGATGGGTGTTGTTCACTCGCGTTTACTGCACGATCGTCTTTATCAGTATATTCCTATATTTAATTTGTCGTTATTAGTCTGTGTATATTATATTGTTGTTCGAGTTCGGCGATGTCGTCGCGTAAACGGACGGTGCAAGTGACGTTTAAACCCGGTATCGGAAAACTTGGTGGTTTCAACGAAAACGTGATTTGTAATTGTAAACTGTGAATAATAAAGCATGTCTTAACTAAATTGTGCTTGTGAAGATTGTGTATATAAGGAGAGTGACTTATATTACATTTGTTCAATGTTTAGCCATTTTTAACCGTTATTATTTTTGATTGCCAAATTGTAGGTGTTAGTTTGGTGCTTTTAGATTATATTAGTTTTGATATCAAGTGTTTGAATATGTTTGTCCTTTTGCAATGAGTAAATTAGTTTTGATTTTTGCAAACACAACCACTTAGACTGTTCAGACTATTCTTGCCTGACAGTTTGATGTGCCTTTTCAAGACTTATCTTCTAACAGATAATGATAAATTAGGTTTATGCATGCATAGTTTAGTTGTTATGTGTAACGTGTATAAGACCATGTACGTTCTTATATATATTTTTTCGTTATGGTTATACATAAGTGACACTTTATAATCAAACAATTGAACATTCGGACATCAAATAGTGAGATGAAGTGTGTTATAAATCATTTTTAGTTAAACGTTATGGATTTAGTAAGAATTATATTCAAATATAAAATCATCACAACCTATGAATTATATCGAACAGCAAAAGTTTTATGAAAAGTCGAAATATTCGCTGAGCAGTCTGACATGAAAATATTTACCCATTGGCGGTTTAATGTGTTTTCAATTCGTAGCATCCACTACACTATTAAAAATCTTCGTATTCCACACCGATTTCAAAAAAGAGAGTCATTGCATAATTTTCTTACCAGAACTTAGACTGATATTGCGATGGCAGGATTGGCAGCGTCTGACAAAATTAGCGATCTGACATCGGAGAGGACGAATTGGTGCATCTGTGTGAATGTGGTTAAGACATGGGAGTCGTTTGAGTCTGACGGTTTGGTGAATGTCAATTTTCTACTCACGAATGCAGAGGTATGTCCATTCTTGGAGTTGTTGCATGATCTTTGAATAGATTTACAGAAATGGATATGAGATTAATTCGTCTCTCCTTTAACCAAGGGGAAAAAAATTGTTGCATCCACCAGTGACTCTATGAGGAGAGAGAGATTCGAACGATCTCTAAACCTTCATTGCTGGAAGGTGATTTTCAACTTCACCGTTCTGATTGACCAATCTGAGAGACGTTTGACCAAGATCAAAGCGAGAATTGTCCTCATAGATGGAACCGGGATCTCTCCAGGTGTAGATCCAGAGGAATATCAGCCGATGGATTTGGTCAGGTTTACAAACATTATATTCATATCAATTACGTTCGTAAGGACTCTTTTATCGTTTTGTTGTTAATTTTTGATTATCGGTATTCTTCAGACTTGATAGGCAAGATAAATTATGTCAAACCTCTCTACATCATGATTGATAATTACATCGTCCGTGCTGATGAAAACTGATCGCCGAAGTTAACATCTTGTGTTGAGTAAGTGGTATACTTTATTTATTATGTTCATACGCTTGCGGTCCAAATATAATGGTTTGATAAACTCCTTTATCCTTTTTATGGTAAAAGTTAGAGATAAAGAGATAATGTGTCGTGTTAAAAGAGAGCTCGCGGATATGTTTTACGATAGAGGGCTCCACGGCCGCCATTTGGATTCTGTCTGTGCTTTACACAATTGGAGAATCGACATTCACCATGGTAATTGTCAAAATCATTTTATAGAGATAGAAAAAAATAATAATATTATGTTCGTTGCAAAACATTATCTCACATAATCAAAAGTATCAGTGACACATATTTTGTCTCCGATGTAGTTGCCGGTATAAACGTTGAAAATGCTGGGAAGATTTCGTCGTTCGATTTCAATCCATAGTGGAGCTTGAATTTGGATGCATACAAATTCGCTGAGGAGACCTTAGTTTCTTTAACCCTTTTACGTCTCTGTTTTTAACCTTATGAGATATAATATGTTGCTGCTCTTAGATAAACACGAGTTAAAATTTACTAATATTATCAGCTGGAGGATGAACGGTGAGTATATGAGCGATAGTGACGGTTCTTCTCGTGGTGACGAGCTATTTCAGAGAGGTAATGTGAAGGAACCAAATCAGCTATGGACGTCTTGCTTGTGTGATGTATAATGTTTCAGAATGTTGTTTTCTTATATCGTCAGACTTTTGTAATTATGTGTTTAGTTTCTGTCATTACTACTATGGTATCACCACCTTAGTCTTAGACATTTGGTACTGATCTAAATCTATAATGTTTATATTAAAACTGTGATTTTTTTGAAAAAGCGGCTAGACCTAATCTTGCTAAGTCGGCGCCGGCTTTGGGCTTGAATTGTGCGGATTGGACTTCAAAAACGGCTTCAGGTCGACCACAGCATTCGGACAGTCGGTCGGGACGGTCGGCCGGACAATCGGGTCGTGGTCGTGATCGGAGCGGTAGTGGCCGGACAGTTTCTCGGTCGGCCGCTGTGGTCGGACGAGTGAAGGATCGGTCCATGCTTCTCGGCCGGACGCGGGACATGGCTTCCCGGCTCGGACGGCGCCATCGGCA